AGTTCTTGACATGGTTAGTGTTCACTTATGAAGAAGGGAGTAAATTTTCCCTTTCAGTTGAATGGGGCAAATGGTCATATAACCTCTTATCTTCTTTAAGAGCAATCTAAGATGGTCAGACTGTCAGCACGGTAAGCTGAGGTGTGTTACCTGATGCCAGATGAGGCTGACGTTGTTTTTATAGCTAAGCCACAGTAATTTAATAGCACTAGGGGCTAAATGTGTATTATTTTATTTAATTCTTACAACAAACCTATACAACAACCTATATAGTATATATATATATATACTATATACATATATATATATATATATGATGAAGAAACATACTCAGAAAGGTCAAGTAACTTGTCTACCAATAAGCAGAGGAAGAGCTGAGATTCAGCCCTGAGTATGTCTGACTCTGTACCTGTTATACCTGTGCTGCCATAGGCAGACATCAGGGCAGGTCATTACATCATTTTTAGTAAGGTGTTAGGAGGGAACAAAAGTTAATGTGTGTTTTCATAATGAAGGACAGAAATACCAAATATTCAGTCAGCTTAGGAATTAGTGAAATATCATATATACTAATTATAATTGAACATCTTGAGGTAAAAAGGGTCTCAGGCATATTGGCTTTAGTTCATAAGCTGTTTCGTGTTTTTATATTTATTTATTTATTTATTTAGACGGAGTCTTGCTTTGTTGCCCAGGTTAGAATGAGTGCCGTGGTGTCTGCCTCGCTCACAGCAACCTCAAACTCTTGGGCTCAAGCAATCCTGCTGCCTCAGCCTCCCAAGTAGCTGGGACTACAGGCATGCGCCACCATGTCCAGCTAATTTTTTCTATATATATTAGTTGGCCAATTAATTTCTTTCTATTTATAGTAGAGACGAGGTCTCGCTCTTGCTCAGGCTGGTTTTGAACTCCTGACCTCGAGCAATCCGCCCGCCTCGGCCTCCCAGAGTGCTAGGATTACAGGCGTGAGCCACCACGCTTGGCCTCGTGTTTTCATTTTTAATTTTAACATATTATGGGGATACAAATGTTTAGGTTACATGTGTTGCCTCCCCTGCCCATGTTTCTTGATGTAGGCATATAATTGATATACTTTCTGCCCCAATACAGGACATCATAATACACTTGCTTAATAGGGTCTATTTTATTATATTGGATTTATGTCATTTGTTCTTCCAGTACATTTTCAGAGCCAGTTATGTGCCAGGCATTGTTCTAGGCAGACAAAAATCCCTTTCCCATGCTTTCAACCTAGTGGAAAATGTTTATGTGATTTATGATATAAAAGTAATTTTATATTAAAATAATGCACTTGGCCATCTGGGTTGTTGTGAGGGCATTTGCCTTTTTGTGAAAGAGTTTAAAATGTTTTTATAAACCAAGTGGGTAGCATTAAAGAACTGAGATTTGTATAATAAGGATATTGTGTTAAAAGTTGAGTATAGAAAACACATTTATATTGAGAAGGAATTTATTTTTATTACAACTAAGAAATGCTCATTTTTGAAAAGCCCTAAGGAAACAGTTCTTTCGAATGAGGTATTTTAATTCTTTCAACTATTTTCTTACTATTTTCTTTCTTAATTTTAAAGCATTAAAAATAATTCTTTCATATTTTCTTACCATGCTTTTTCTTACCAGCATGATGAAACAAGGGATCATGTTGAAGTGTGTCCTGATGCTGGCATTATCATTCAGGAACTTTCTCAACGCATCGCACTAACTGGAGGTGCTGCACTGATTGCTGATTATGGTCATGATGGAACAAAGACAGATACCTTCAGAGTATGTGTAATTCAGTAACATGATTTATCAGAATTTCATTGTTAGATCTGAGGCTCACCGAAGGTCTTTATCTTTGGTTTCTATAGTGCCTAGGATTTTTATATTATTTTATGATTAACATTAATTCATATTATTATAATTACCCTTTAAATTTTGTATCTTACTCCTAACCCTAAATCCACTGTCCACCTCTCCTTTGAACAGGATCTGAATTATTTACATTCTTCCTTAGCTGTAGAACTTAAGTTTATAGATCCTAGTAAGCATCTGAATGATACAAATGGATAGATTTTCTTCATTCTTAAACTTTTCTATCTGCTCTGCCTTCATTCAGAAATAATTTTGATACTTTGGAGATTTAATCTTCTAGCTATTATAATCACTCATAACTTTTTCTATCATATTTTCCTTATCTCTTCTCCTCTCCAGATGGATTCTTTTACTCTTTCTAGATATCCTTTCTCAGTGCTCTTTGAGTATGATTAATTCTTTTCAATATACTTTAAGTGAAATACATTTAACTAGGTGCCATTAGTTATTTTCTAGATTTGTGGTTGTTCTTTCTAACTTCATCGCATCTAAGAATAACCTGGAGAGCTTGGTAAAAAGGCTGATTCTCTAGTCACACCTCCGGGATTCTGACTGATCAGGGCTGGGTGGAGTCCAGTAACATTCTCAGGTGAATCTGATGGACATGGTTGATGGATATACTTTTTAAAACACTGCCTAGGTGTTCTCTACATAGGTAATTTCTTTGGATGAATTCTGTGAATTAATGAGATCGCTATTCTATCATGACAGGCATTAATGAAAATGCTAACTCTGTTAAGGTTGGTATCTTTAGGCACTCTAACAATGCACTTTTTATTGGGTTTTCCATATGGCATTCATTCGAAGAAAGGGTGCTACTGCATAAAGCCTGTAAACCACAGATTTAGGCCATATTTTCCTTTTTAACAGCTGCTACATAAAAATGTACTAATATGATAGCATTTCTTTAATCTTGATAATAAGTATAAAAGGGCAAAAATTCATTTCTTTATATTCAAGGGGTTTTGTGGCCACAAGCTTCATGATGTCTTAATTGCCCCAGGAACAGCAGACCTAACAGCTGACGTGGACTTCAGTTATTTGCGAAGAATGGCACAGGGAAAAGTAGCCTCTCTGGGCCCAGTAAAACAGCACACATTTTTAAAAAACATGGGTATTGATGTCCGGCTTAAGGTAAGGTTTACTTTGTTTCATTATAATTAAATATTTTAATTTCATAGCAGTTCAAAACTTAACCTTATACAACTTTATCTGGCCTTAAGCTCTGGTAGTTATCCAGATCCTTGGTATTTCAGTCTTTTCCATAATGTAGGATTTAATGTAACCAGACAGCCCGGTAAGTTTCATGCATCTCCATGTTGGGTAGAATTAAGACTTCCAAATAGTGTTGTGTTCGTTAAGAAAACTGTATTCATGGGTATGAATTTTCTAACTGTTCTTCTTAGGACACTTAAACCTTACCATAGATCAAACCACCTGGGGTATTTGTTAATAATGCAAATCTATAGGTTTGGGTCCCAGCAACCTACATTTTTAATAGACGCCCCATAATTATCAGGTAGGTAATCAGAAATCACATTCAGAGCACTGCTTTATTGGAATATTTAAGAGTCATTAGTATTGCTGCATACAACTACAAATTCTTCTGGTTATTTTTGCTAAGAGTTTTTTTCTTTTCAGGTTCTTTTAGATAAATCAGATGACCCATCAATGAGGCAGCAGTTACTTCATGGGTATGATATGTTAATGAATCCTGAGAAGATGGGAGAAAGATTTAACTTTTTTGCCTTGCTACCTCATCAGAGACTTCATGGTGGAAAGCATCAAATGAATGCATGTCAGTCAAAACCCTCTGCACTCCCTGTGGCTGGGTTTAGTGAACTTGTTTGGCAGTGATATTTCAGCTTGGACCTTTTACCGCTCAGTCTGCCTAAGAAATTGAAATAAAGGGAACACATTTCATATATTTCAGGTAATACAAGTGTTAAAAGTATTTTATCTCTTCATAGCTAGTAAGAATAGCCCATGTTACATATAATTCAACCAAAAACTATAGAACTTTTAGGATTGTGACTGACTTTTGGTATAAATGTGTGTTTTCAACTTAATGAAATAATTAAGTTATCATGAAACTGAGTTTCCTTTAATTAATAAAGCTAGTTGCTGTACTTTTATTTTAAGAAGAAAACACAAGCCCCAAGTGGTCTAATAAAAACTGAAAACAACCTAAATTGCTATTCACAGGGTACTGATTAAATAGATCTGTTATTTTTAAATTGAGGTCGAGCAATTATGTTGACATAGAAAGATCTCTAAGATTCAGTAGTGAAAAAAGTAGGATGTAAAGGTTTTTATAGTCATGATCCCATTTTTACAAATAAATACTTATAAGTAATGAAAAAATTTTTTAATCATGAAAGTTACATTAAATAGTAATAATCCTGACATGTGGTTGAAATACAGTAAATGTAGACTACCGAGGAGGAATAAGTTTTAAAACTGAGCTAATTCTTCCTTATTGTCAGATAAATGTCAAGTTTTAATTCCATATTAAGTTCTCGTTTTTGGTTCACAGAACTTTTATATTAATACTGGAAAGATTAATACTGGACTTTCTGGGGAATTGTTAAATTAGCAACACAAATTTATAAGGTAGATTAGAGGGAAAATAAAACTAGCCATATGCCTGGAATTTATGGCTTAACTATATTGGAAAAGTTCATTGGCAGAGTTGGGAACTATTGCTTTTTATTGCTACTTCTGCTTCCCTGAGAACAGGATTAGCATTCATCATATTCTGAAGTAAAAGATGGAGGCCTTATTTTTCAGATGTTGCCCAGCCTCAGGCCATTCCTGAGTTACTCTTACTCTATTTCCACATTTATTTCATTTATTCAAAGACTTAGTTGGGACAACTTTTGAAAGATGAAAATGTCCCTTCCCAAATACGTAAATGTTTTATAATTAAAGGGGAATAGTCAATGCCTTACATATTAAAACCTAGAAAATTAATTTTGATAATAGGTTCTTAACTTTTCTGAGTCTTTCTGTAGTCATTAATACAACTGTTGGATAATTTGGGTGGTAGCTCCTGAAAAATTTATAGTTATAATCATTCCAAACTTTCATTCGAAGAAATGAGACCTCCAGATAATTACCTCAAATTTAGTATAAAAGTGTAAAAATTAGTTTTTTTATTTTTGTCAAGTAAAAAAAAATCAGTACTTTTAAATATAGCAATTAGTTCTATTTACAAATATTATTTCCCAAATAGTTCTATTACCACGGCCTGGAAAAATAACACAACCAAATAAAATTTTCTTTAGATACCTCTAATAGAGATAGGCTTAGGTTTTCATATGAAAAGTATGATGATATGGAAATACATTTTATTATCAAGCTTCTTTGAGAATATTTACAAAAAGCTGGATGTAACAAAAAATATAAAAATGTACTGAACAGTGTCATTATAGACTATACATTATCAAATGTTTCTAGCAGACAATTATTTCTTATACAAACACAACTTGACTTCAAGACAAAAGGTTATGTAGGTTATACAGTATCTGGAGTAATTACTCAACTCCAAATTATCTGACAGTGCCTTTACAAAATTTTAGAAAACTTAGGCATTCAACAACAAAAATAGAAAAAGAGTGCAATTAATTTCATGGCTTGTATGGTTGATTAAGTATAGCAAACAAACATCATTCCAGTTGATTTTCACCATATGCAATAAAACCACAACAGGTTGCCTAGTGACTCACAATTATTCCATTTTGTGCATGCTGATATAAACAGACTTACTATGGAGAAATCTGGGGAAGTCATCCTCTTCCACAGGGAAAATAACATTTCTAAAATGTTTTCTCAAAATTAATTTGGTTTAATCTTTGAAACTCCCACATGAGAACAAATTACTGAAAGACAGGGAATGTCTCCTGGCGGTATTTGTGGTAGACAGTACAGCATAATTGTCAGGTGGATTTAAGAGGGACTCTGGAACCATACTGTCTGGGTTCAAATACACATACTATGAATTTTGGCAGCTGGTTAATCTCCCTGTGCCTTAATTTCCTTATCTGTAAGATGGGTTCCTAATGTACTTACCACCCTATTGTTGTGAGGGTAAATTAAAACATAAAACAACTTAGAACACAGGGGCACTACATAATGTTTGCTACAATTCTCTCAAGGATATTTTTAGTCCTAGATAGGACAGTAGCTTCAGGGATCTCTAAAGGCCCTCTCAATCTTAGTCTTCATATACAGGAACATTCTTTTCCTCTGCTACCTCAAATTCAATGTGCAATAAGAGTTAACACTTACAGTTTTTAGTTTATTAAATACATTCATACATATCTGATCTTCACAACACTATGAGGAAGGTAGAGGTGAGAATTATGATCTTCATTTTATAAATACACTGAGGAACTACAGACTCAGACAGACTGTCATCTCTGCCCAGGTCAACATAGCTAATAATAATGCAGCCAAGACTTAACTCTTTCAGTCTTCTTAGAGTAGGGAAGAAAAAGAAAAAAAGGTTCACAATGATTACTGAGGAACAAAGAAACAAAAAGCCACAGATTTCTTCCAAGTGGATGATTCCAGCTCTTAAACTTTCTTTGGGGAAATATTAGTAACTATTTTTAAAATAGATGGCTGCTGGAACTGAAAGGTAAAAGGAAATACTTATTCTTTTATTTGCTGAGCTGATAATACAGCCCCACCCTTATAAAGTAAGTGCTTCATGTTCCACCCCTACCATTCCACCAAACTGCTTAAAATAATTGATTCAAAAACATTTCAGATATGTGCAAAGTCCTCTAACAGGATAAGGGAAGAAAAACAGGATACTGTTTGCTATACAGTAACTGTAGCATTAACTGACCTTGCACTGGCCTTCCTTTTAGTACATACTTAATTTTATCCCTCACGTTATTCAACCCTGGGTAAAGATAAATTGTGTAAAGTTTAGATCTGTACCCATTGAACACTGGAATCCAGTATTGGCGTCAGGATGGTGTCAGTCAGAACGTAGAGCTGAGCTATATGTGAAGACATGTGTAATAGTTCAACACTTAGAACATCAGTTCTTACTTGTTTTGTAATGTAAATGTCCCACTGTTGCCAAATACAAAAAAGGTGACAACCTAATTTTCATGTTGGAGAGCACAGAGTCATAATTCAAAAAGGTTAGGAATCACTGTTTCAGAGTCTTGATTGACCTAAAAAAGAAAGGTGAAACAGTCCTGCGCTCCTTTTCTAGACATATAGAAAAAACCCCTCAATGCATCCATGGTTGGTTAAACAAATGTTAAAAGTCCTTGTAAAATCACATATTGGTTTCCTCACAGTTATCTCTTAAATACAAATCTGTTACTACCTATAACTCTTGTATGATTTGGTCAAGCTATGCAATTATTGAACTCTAGCTTGCCTTTTTTATTTTCCTTTTAAAAACACAAATGTAAAAACAGGAAAGGGAAGATACATTAAGTGCCACTGTAGTACAAAAGTGAAGGATTAGAAAAAAATGCTACAAAAATTTATAAAAAGTTTCACCTTGATTCCACTGTGAGTTTTTATTACTCAGTTTCCTCTCCTGTACCTACTCATTATGAACTACAGTATTGGTGTCACCAATTCCTTATACTTCCTTATGTCTTTGCATCCTTGCAGATGACAACCTACAACGAACAGTAACGCAACAAAGTATCAGTCCACAAAATGAAATCTTTGCTCATTGAAGTTAGCTCTTTGATAATTAGGGATCTTCTTCCATATCATCTGGATTGGGAGCCATAATGAAGTGCTTTGGATATAAAAGGTTGTGTGTGTATGCATGTATTTCCCAGCGAGCATCGTCACTTTCATGTGTAATGTAACGTTCTCCAATGCGAGTTTCAAATTCTCTAAGGTCAAGCCAAGTCTGATAGTCCTAGGAACAAATGAAGTGATTATGAAACATAAACAAAATACTGTCAACTTTTTTTTTTTTGCTTAGCACCCTAGTCAAATAACTGACAACCCTTACTTATAAGCACTCGGCTATATACTTAAGTTCTATTTGTGATATTTTTTTTTTTTTCTCACTTTGTGTCCAGGCTAGAGTGAGTGCCGTGGCGTCACCTAGCTGCACAGCAACCTAATCTCCTGGCTGGTGTCCTTCTGCTCCAGCCTCCGAGTAGCTGGGAACTACAGGCATGCGCACACCATGCCGGCCCTATATTTTATATATATCAGTGGCCAATTAATTTCTCTATTTTCAGCAAGAGACGGGTCTCGCTCCTTGCTCAGGCGAACTCCTGACCTTGAGCAATCCGCCCGCCTCGGCCTCCCAAGAGCTAGGATTACAGGCGTGAGCCACAGCGCCCGGCCTATTTGTGATATTTTAAATTAGTAATGTTAAAAAACACTTTAATGAAGTGTCTACTGAAGGAAAGTAACTGTTTTCTGAAATTAAAAAAAATTTTAACAAATAAAAAAAAATAAAAATAAAAAAAGGAAAAAATAAATCTCTTGGCATCTCACCTGAAAAATAACAACAACAACAAAAATTTGCAGCCAGGCATGGGTGGCTCACGCCTGTAATCCTAGCACTCTGGGAGGCCGAGGCGGGAGGATTGCTCAAGGTCAGGAGATTGAAACCAGCCTGAGCAAGAGTGAGACCCCATTTCTACTAAAAATAGAAATTAATTGGCCAACTAAAAATATATAGAAAAAATAGCCAGGTTCCATCTCTGCTAGAGACAAATAAAAATAAAAATAAAAATAAAAAAAAGAAAAAATAGCCAGGCATGGTGGCGCATGCCTGTAATCCCAGCTAACTGGGAGGCTGAGGCAGGAGGATTGCTTGAACCCAGGAATTTGAGGTTGCTGTGAGCTAGGCCCAGGCAACAGAGTAAGACTCTGTCTCAAAAAAAAATTGTTTTGCTTCAGGCTTCTGAAGTGGCTTTTAATGATCACTAAAACATTTTGTTCTATACTGTGTGAGGCTTAAACCTTCTCAAAGTAGGTGAAAGTGCTTGGAATTAACAGGATTTTAACAGGATAACTTTATAATCAGTGAGATTATGATTGTATTTGTTTTGAAGCTGATTCTACCCCTCATTCCTTTTTAAATAGTCCTTACTCTGAAGTTAGAGATTATCTTTTGGCAAATCTATGCAGGATCTTTGCCAAACATTTTAAAAGGCATTTTTAAAAAATCTCTTCAATGCAAAAATAAACCTTTTAGTGAACATTTAAAATAATTTTGACAAACTAACATGTCATGCTAATCTTACAAGAAGGCGAAACGAACACATAGGCCTATAATTGTTCATGGAATTTTACTATCAATACTGACTTCAATGATGTACTGCACAACTTCCAGAGATTCAGCCATAGTACAGATTAATCACTGAAGAGCACTTACATTATTCTAAGAAATGTGGAGAATCTCTTGATCTTACAGTGGTTTCATTAGGTAAGACAATTCACAGTGAACTGCTCAAATGAAGATCGCCAGAGATAATACTTTTTTTACCTGTAGCCAAGGATGACTAAGAGATTTGTCAACACTATAACGTTTTCTCATCTTCACTTGAAGCAGGTTGTTTATCAAATCAATTGCTAAGAGAAAAGACAAAATTAGATACATGAATTTGGGTGTATAGAGCACCCCAAACCTGTGACTCTGCCTGGAAAGCAGTTTAATCCATACAAATAGAAGGTTGAGGAATGTTTGCTTCTCAAGGACATGGACTTTAAGTTAACATGTAACGTGATCCATAAATATTTACTGAATTAAGTATAACTGTCAAATTTTCATTTTATTTAGAAGGCACTATAGAGTACAGGTTAAAATAATACACTCTGGAGCCAGACTACTTGGACTGAAGTCTGGTTCTGCCACTTCCTAGCTATGTGATATGGGGTCAGTTATTAAAACTATGCTATGGCTCAATTTTCTCATCCATAAAATGAAGTTGTTTAATATATGTAAGGGCTTACAACAGAGCTTAGCACAGAATGCTAACTATTATTATTAACATTTCAAGACGAAGAAAATAGACTCTTGATTACAGGCAGACTACCCCCCATCCCCATAACACCATGTTGTTCTTTAGTCTCTGGCTTAATCTATAAAATTAGCCAAAGCTATTGCTGCCTCTACAGACCTGGTTAGACTGAGGTGATAACTTATCGCCAAAAGTTCACACTTTTGTTTTAACAAATAGGTTCAGTGTGTTTTGGCATATATGGTCAATCTTGGCACACATATTTTATTCACTTATTTGGAGAAATGTATCAACTGCAAAACCAAGGCAACTGTATAACTACATACTCACTATAGTCCTGTATAATGATACATTTGAAATACTGATAACAAAGGCTAATGAACCAAATAAAAGACATACAATACTAGCTCTATTTCTCTTCTATATACTATCAAACTAGAGAATATTTTCCATAAGTACTTTAATTATGAATTTCTCTATGTTCCAAATACTTCAAACCCTTAATCATTGTTCCTGAAAAATGTGCGTCATAATTATTTGGAGTGTTCATTTAAAAAGGCACATTCCTAGGTATCATTCCAACTAGTGAATCTGTCTCTGTGGGATATGGCCAGGGGTTTTTCTTCCAATAAACTCATCAAGTGATTCTGTTACAAGAAGTATACAAACCACACTGCCCCAGGAACTCTGAGATGATCTGGTAACATAAAAAAACTATCCTGTGAACTTCTTCAATTAGCTTTCCTCATTTCCAAGCAAACCTGCTACCATCTTTGCATGTTGTTCCTCAGATTTTTCCCAGTGTAATGGAATATTAGTCAATCCTTTTGATTAGGCCTAGTACTTCTGGAAAAATTTAAAAAACCTACCTGTTATAGGGGTTGGCTAAATCCAAGTGGGAGTATTCCCCAGCATTGACTCTGTTACTTTGAGCGGGATAGTTAAATAATGTTCTAAGTACTTGTCCTTTCTATGAGTATCAGTAAACTAAAGAGGGCCAACCAAATCAGTCTTTTTTTTTTTTTTTTTTTCTCTTTTTTGTTTCACATCAGAAGCAAAGACCTCACTGGCACCAAATCAGTCTTGATGGGTATAAAACCAGGAGTTGCAAACTGAAAAGCATTCACTAGGCAGAAGGACAAATGCATGAAGCTTCCTAGCAGAAGTTCAAAGGAGAGGAGAAAACAAACCAGAGAATGTCACGTTGAATATATAGTTCATTCTAGGTATAAAGAACTGGAACTACAAGTTCCAGTTCAAGAAGCTTGTAAGAATCCTGTTCTGAAGATTAGAAAAGTTAATTATGGAAAGATTGGATACTTAAGAAAAACATGCCCAATTATTAGCCTAAGTAGATCTTACACAATTTACTGGAGTAGTCAGGAAGACTTCATAGATGAGTCACAAGTTAAGGGGTCCTCAAATGACTGGAAGGATTAATAGCAAGGAGGGATTGCAGACAGGGGAAAAGAGGCCTAAACAAGTTGCAGAAAAAGTTCAGAAGAGAACAAACAACTGGGGTTGTGTGGGGGAGTAGTGGCAGAAGAGTCTCGAAGGTGAGCTTAGGCCACATCCTAGAGATCTACAGCTGCAGTGTGGTTAGAGTAGCCAAAATGTTTGGGAGCAGAGTAAGATGAAAGTAATGTTTTCTGATGATAGATTTGGCTGTAGTGACTAGAAAGGACCAGAAAAGAGAGTCCAATGGGTAGGACAGCTGAAAAGGTATCTTAGGAGTTTCAGAATGAAGCAATTGAGGCCTGGATTAGTGTTATGCCTGGGAACTATAAGGAAGGAAAAGAAAAAATGGTATAAAAGGAATGGTGCTCAGAAATTGGCAACTAGTTGAATTTAGAAGATAAATGGGAAATATTAAAAAGAAGATAGAAGAGACAGACTGATTTGGAATCACAGAGATTTTTAGACTTAAGACCAGAGAGCCAAAACTTAATTATTTTTACCTTCACCAGAAATTTCTCTCCATGGATTTGGTGGGTACATAAACGCAGCATTTTGGATTTGGTCATTTATATCTTCATCCTCATTGAAAGGAAACGTGCCACTGAGGCTCACATAGACAATAACTCCCACTGACCACATATCTAGAGAACGGTTGTAACCTTTGCTCCGGAGAACTTCGGGGGCTAAGTATGCTGGAGTTCCTACCACAGATCTCCTGAATGACTTTTCACCAATGATACGTGCAAATCCAAAGTCACACAGCTTCACCTGCACAATTGAAGGATGATGTTAATCTTATGTTATAGTGTTATATATATAACTATGTATCAATCTATATATACATACCTAACTGTCCCTAAATAAGATACTGTATTGTTTCAACACTCTTGCCAACTGATTATGGATATCAAACAATTGTAGATAGGGAAATTATAAAATATCCTTTCCCAAAAGGCAGATACATTTACAGCCCTGTAATCCTAACATAGTATGAAGGACTTTCCTAGTGATTATTTCAAAAAACTTTTAAATTCTAGCTTCCAGAATGCCAAATACCAGACTGGTATTACAGGTGTTCAGTTTTGATGAAATGGAGGGTGCTGATCTTTCATCATTTGTCTTATAAGGAGGTGACTTTTCTATCATCTATGGGCAGGAATCATGTTTCATTTCTGAATCCTCAGTGGCCTTAGAGTGCCTGGACACATGAAGGTACTCACTAAATGTTTGCAAAACAAAAAAATGAGATATAATATTAAAAAAATACCTGTTTTTGCTTAATCCTAGAGTCCTTTCCTAAGAACACTATAAACTGACAAGTAAATAAAACTGAGATATATTAAAGATAACTATTAATGTGGACAGTAGAGGAGTAATGCTGGAGACTGCTCCAAGGAGTAAGAGCAAACAGTGTTTTCTATGACTGTGGAACAAATTATTGCTAGTTAGATGTTTAGATTTGAAAAAAGTCATATGTGAAGGTAGCCACCGGAGTTTTCTAGAAGTGTGATGAGGTTGGCAGAACACTTATCTTGCTGCCCATCTTTTTGTAGAGGTTCAGATTTTGGTGATTAATGACTGCATCCATGCTGAACAAGCAAATGCCGAGCACTTTCTGGAGGAAATGCTCTGAGTCACAAAATATCTTCAGAAAAAGCATTAAGATAAATTGAGAGAAAAGTGATCTATCCTCTAAAAAACAGTGTACAAATGGTGACTGCACAACAAAGTAGTGAAGGTATATTCAAATGCTGCTTGCTATTTCTGGGATATGGACCCTGACACATATTTTTATGAATGATATTTTCTCTGTGTCATTAGTGAATTTGGCTGCTTCAATATTTGAGTCTCTGAAGACTAGGATTACCAACCCTGAAAAATTTGAACTTTTTTTTTTTTTTTTGGTTAAATGCCAGATTTCAGCTAACATCTTGACAAAGTAAAGATGACTTGGCAGTTTGGCAAGTGAATGAAGTGGGGCAAAGTGGAACAAAAAAAGTATAAAGTACATAACATTATTTTCCCTTTGTTCTTAATGGGAACACTAGCCTTAGCTGTAGGGGTATAAATCCCTATAACCATTTGGAGATAATAAATGGAAACAGTTTATTTAATACATTGCACCAACTATTAGGAGACCGTTTTTGACCTCACAATGATAGGGAATCATTTAACCATATAGACATTATAAGAGGAAAAGCAATATTACTATTATACTTTTAAAGTTAAAGAATTGAGAATTGAATGATTTAAAAAAATACATCTTTTTCTTTGAAAAGACAATTTGAGTTGTAGTTACTAAGTTAAATAGCTATCTGCTGTCCTTATTCTAGCCATTTGTCTAATTGTACATGTTTTCAATGTATATAAATAATAGCTTGTCAATGGATAGTCTACGTAATTGGAGGATTCCTCAATGAGAATCATGAAAAACTATTGTAGGTACCACATCCAACTTATATTTCTCAGGACATTTGTTTCAAAATTTGGGTTATGATCCATTTAGTAGGTTATGAAATAAATTTAGTGGATCATGATCAACACTTTGTACAAAATGAAACTCAAATGAATAAAAATAAAGTGCACCACATGTAGCCAGGACACACATGCAACATGACACTGTCATACATATGTGTTAGTGCTGGTAATGAGAAATGTAATTCTTACATAGGTTTTGTTGAAAATGTTTGAAATATAATACTCTAAAAGAGGAGAAGGAGTTGGCTGACTGCCTCAACCAAAAGCTATCTCCCATTTCAGGAAACACCCCACCAGTTAGTTCTAGTTTATGAGGAATTCATAAATCGAGCATTAAGCACCAACCAAGGTTGGTTCATTCCCACTTCATTCTCAAACCATGGGGAGAGGTGAACTGCAAAGGGTCTATGTATGCAAAGTTAGGTCTAAAAACGTCTTAGTGAACATAAACAATATAATGAACAAAACCTGAATTCAAATAATTATTATTTATTTAGAGACAGGGTCTTGCTCTGTTACCTAGGCTACAGTGCAATGGTGAAGTCATAGCTCACCTCAACTTCGAACTCCTGGGTTCAAGTGATCCTCCTACCTCAGCCTCCTGAGTAGCTGGGATTACAGCTGTGCACCACCATGCTCAGCTAATTTTTCTTAATTTTTGAAGAGATGGGATCTTGCTATGTTGCTCAGGCTGGTTTCAAACTCCTAGCCTCAAATGATCCTCCCACCTTGGCCTCCCAAAAGTGCTGGGAGTATAGGCGTGAGATACTGCACCCAGCCTGAATTTAAATTATTTAGTTATTAATCCTCACTGGCAGTTACAGGCTAAAAACTTTATTTCTGTAAGATGGTATGCATTTTGAACATATAGCACTTGGTACACTGCCTTCAATTATTGGGGTACTTCAAAAATGTTGTCAGAATCATTTAAAATGATTCTTTAAAAGGTTCTAGAGGATATCTCACCTGAGGAAATGGCTCTGCTGATGCAAGCAGCACATTTTCTGGCTTTAAATCACAGTGCACAATATTCTTAAAATGCAGATTCCTCAAAGCAACAAGTATCTGTAATGAAAAAAGATTTTTTCAATGCTTAGAAACATCAGTTAAACCTCAATGTGTCTCCTTGAATAGTGTAATAACTTCAAAATTCCACTACAGTTCATCAATATTTAGCTAAAGGCATGTTATTTTGTTCTTTAAAGTTAACGATTCCATAGTCTCCCAAAACATAAAAGCACTGCTATTTAGTTTCCTTAATTTTTAATTATTCTATAGTTTCAAAAGAAGATACCTGTGTGACCATGAATTTAGTAATTCGTTCTGGAAGCCGACTTTTCTCACTGGATAGAATCATTTCCAACATATCTCCATGCAGCTTTTCCATTACCACAAAGACTCGTTCTGGGGTCTCAAACATACATTCCAGATTTACGATCCCAGGATGGTGCAAATTCTGAAGAGAGGTTGCAAGATATTTATATGACCAACTTAAGTAGAGAAATATTATGCAAACATCTAACAGTGTGCTACGACTATATGAAATACATGACATAAAGAGAAGAAACAGCTTAGAAAAATAAACAATAAAAGCAAACAGGAGGGGGGGAAATGGGCATTTATTGAAACCTTAAAATCTGTACCCCCATAATATGCCAAAATAAAAATAAAAAAAAAAAACAGAAAAAAAAAAAGCAAACAAAATGAAAGTTACAATCAATAAAAAGGATCTTAAATTCTGATTTTCTAAGTTGTGTAGTGGAGAGTGGATGCACTGAGGAGAGACAATGTCTTCCTAATTTTATTACACAATTGCCCTTGTCCATTCCTGCTGCTTTTCCTTCCTCCTCATTTTTTAAATCTCTGACACTGCTCTAATTTTGTGCTGCCCTTCAATAGCACTGATTACCAATTAATTTTTAGTCAGTTACACAGAGCTTTGGCTCTCTGGGGGCTGTATTTGTGAAGGTCTTTGCTCAAGAGATGGTTTTGTTTCTAAAGTCGTTATTTATCTGTTTTTTGATTCTCATTATATGATACCTTGTCCCTCTCTTAGGCTCAGCATCTCTCTACTTCCATCATCCCATGTTTCTTGAACACAACTAGGTTATGGGTTGGAGATACATGAAGATGAATGCCATATTGTTTCTGCTTATAAAAAAGCAATCTATCTAAGGTTCTACTCACAGAAAAACCTTCCTCAAAAACAAACTTGTTAAGTCAGCCTTGCTCAAAAACCTTGAATGGCTCTTTATTTCTGGACATAAATTTAAATTCCGTGGCCTAGATTTTAGGATCTTCAATAATCTGGCTTCATTCTCCCTATTCAATCTTAAATATGCTCTATTGATCAAGTGATTATTTTTTATTTTTATTCCTTATTAAACAGAAATACAGATGGGCCCCAACTTATTTTAGCTCAATGTTTACATCATGTAGGTGTTTTAAAAAATGTTTAGAAAATGAAAGAATAGCAACTGCAAAAAAACTTGTTTGCTAATCAATTTAAGACAATTTAGTAACATCGTGTTCCAAGTAGCAAAGTAAAAAGTGACATAATTTTGTAGTAAATAAATGGAAGTGAAATACTCTGTAATGGTGGGTTTATGACAATTGCAATAAGCAATGCAATAAGATTCAGAATATCCTAACTTTTATCAACATATCTTTAGAGGTCTGTCTCCTATACTATGGCTGTTTTGCTCTTAAATTCTTTCCCCTGCCTGCCTTTAAAAACATGTGGACACACAAAAATAGAAGTATATGATAATATTATTCTTCTCCCTTTAAAACTTTCTCTATTTGATTAAATTTTCTATTTCCTCTAGATTATGTTTTAGTAAATTATACTTTCATAGAGAATTACCCATTTTCTCCAAGTTTCCAACTTTATCTAGAAGAATTGAGCAAAGTAAGTATCTTAAGATTCTTTTGTTTCTTCTGTAGTTGTGGTCATGTACTGAAGAAATTTTTGTATTTTTTAGACTGCTATTTATTTTTACATACCTTCTCTTTCCACCACACAAAGAATCAGCTTTTGGATTAAATTCTTTTCTGTGTTTATTAATTTCCATTTTTATCTTTGATAATCCCTTCTGCTTTCCTTAGGTTTATTTTATTATTCATTCCTTTAACAACTTCTGCTTGTTTTTTGTTTGTTTGTTTTTGAGACAGGTCTTCCTCTGTTGCCCATGCTGGGGTGCAGTGGCTGTAACCTTAAAGGATCAAGCAATCCTCCTGCCTCAGCCTCCCCAGCAGCTGGGACTACAGGTGCACACCATTATACCCAGCCAGTTTTATTTTCATTTGCAGAGTTGGGGTCTTGCCATATTGTCCAGGCTGGTCTTAAACTCCTGGCCTCATTCTTTAACTTCTTCAGTTGGACTCTTAATTCATTTATTTTCATTCTTTATGACTTAATATTTGAGATTATAAAGCTTTCTCTAAATGATAGTCCAAAGGTTCTGATATGCACAGTATTTTCATGGTTATTTTCTAAATATTCTGAAATTTTAATTTTTTTCTTTGATTCAGGAATTAAGATAATTTTTTTTTTTTGAGACAGAGTTTCACTCTCTTGCCTGGGTTAGAGTGCCATGGCATCAGCCTAGCTCACAGCAACCTCAAACTCCTGGGCTCAAGCAATCCTGCTGCCTCCGCCTCCCAAGTAGCTGGGACTACAGGCATGCATCACCATGCCCGGCTAATTTTTTCTATTTATATTAGTTGGCCAATTAATTTCTTTCTATTTATAGTAGAGACGGGGTCTCGCTCTCGCTCAGGCTGGTTTCGAACTCCTGACTTCGAGCAATCCGCCCGCCTCGGCCTTCCAGAGTGCTAGGATTACAGGCGTGAGCCACCGTGCCCAGCCAGGAATTAAGATAATTTTTTAAAGTTTTCAGGTAATGGAAACTTTTTGTTTACTGATTTTATAATTTCTACTTTTATTGCATTAATATCAAAGAATACTATTTACTACTGTTTTGAGTTGATGAGGGATTGTTTGTTTTTAGGGTACAGAATTTAGTATAAAGCAGTTAGATCTACCTTATTGTTTAGGCCTTGTATGTTACTGATTGATTGACTGACTGACATACGGTCTCTCTGTGTTGCCCAAGCTAGAGTGCAGTGGTGTCATCATATAGCTCACTGCAACCTCAAACTCTTGGGCTCAAGCAATCATCCTCCTGCCCCAGCCTCCTGAGTAGTTGGGACTATAGACACGAACCACAATGGCCGGCTATATTTTCTATTTTTAGTAGAGATAGAGTCTCACTGTGTTGCTTAGGCTGGTCTCCATCTCCAGGATTTAAGGAATTCTCCCACCTTGGCCTCTGAAAGTGCTAGGGTTATAGGCATGAGTGACCATGTCCAGCCTGTACATTCTTAATTATTTCTGTCTACTCCATCATGGACTACTAATGTGCTTGTTTGTTTCTCCTTGGATCATCTCTAGTTTTCCTTTATAAATATGTTGATGCTGTTATTTGGTGTAGTGTGATTTGCACCTTTGCACTATTGTTAAAGTGGCCTTCTTCATTTCATTTAATGTGTTTACCTTCAATTAAATCTTGTCAGATCATGATGCCCCCCTGCTTTCTTTTGTTTGGAGAAGGGACTTAGGGAGGGCTTCATAGCTGTAGATCTCAGAGCTAGCAAAAACAGCTCTTATTGTGGCACCTCTTCCTGCATGCACCCCTACTTTATTACCACTGTTTTTGGAAAATCTTTACTTATTTTATAGGTCTGAATTCTCTTCTGTTTTTATTGAAGAAAGAGTATGCTCTTCCGTTTAATCATTTTTTCTTGTAGCTTTTGGGTGATTTCCAATAAGAGAAGGAGAAAATGCTGAATTTATACTATATTGTTCAAATCAGAAATTTCCCTTTTAAGTTTCTGATGGTTTTCCATTTACATAAGTATAGCAATGAGAATGCTACACATTTCCTCCCACTACTATACTCCTTTCTTCAGGCAACACCAAAAGAAACATTTTATATTAGTATATACTTAGGAAAGGAAAGTTAACCCCCTTCCTCCCATTTCTTTCCTGCCCCACATGCTCTGTAGATGTGACCATGTGGACAGTTTGTACAGGTAGGAATCTTTCTGTACGCAGATATATGTAGACATAAATAATATACGTATTACTTTAAAATGTTACACAAATTGAGTCATTCCATACTTTTTTCCATCTAACAATATGTTGTAGATAATTTCCCAAATAATACATTCATTCATTCACTATCAAAGGAGTATTTTCCATGTGTCTAATACTATGTAGATATTCTGGATTCATTAATAATAAAAACTGACAAAGAGCCCTTGTCTCATAGAGCTGCTTAATCTAGCAAGATTAAGAGATACAATGGTAAATAAACTAGTATTTTACCTAGTATGGAGATGATAAGTGCTATGGAGAAAAGAAAAAGAGTTAAGGTAAGGAACTGCATGGGTGGGAAAACAGGATTAATGCTGAAAAGAATATGAAAACTTCACTGAGGAAATGATATTTGGGCAAAATCTTGAAGCAGACAAGGAATATGTCATGCAGATATTTGAGGGGGAAAGCATTCCAGGTAGAGGGAACAGCTAATGCAAAGCTCTTGAGACAGAAGCATGTGTGGCTGGGAAAGAGATTCAATTTGTTGAGTATAGTGTCAACAGTGGAACCTTTATCAAGTGACTTTGGCTCAGTTTAATAAAGAATAATCACAGGTATCTGAAAGTGGCATGTGCTCATTTCTATTAAACTGATAGAAAAATAAAGTCCATCACCAACTTTTTAAGAGAAAGGATGGACATTCCTGGTAAACTGTAAAGTTACTTCTAAACCAGTGATCCTATGATTTTTCTTCTCTGTGACTGGAAAGGCCAAAGCTGTGGTCTCAATATAATGTCTTTACCCCATCCTTTCTTTTTGAAGATGTGGGCACAGTAAAGAAAAACTATAAATGCCATTGGTGCTGCAGGTGAAGATAACAGCACCAGTATCAACTACAGGAGTTCAGTCAGCCTTTCAGATTTGTATGATGAGGACTACAGACAAGACGAACACAGGGCAAAGATCAAAGAGTGGACAATACAGTTGGGGAGGAAGAGGAGAGGGGGTGGTGTGGGTGACTGTAAGGGTATAGTAGGTTCCTGTCACCCATGTGAAAAAGTCTAGCTAAAATGCTCACATGATTAAATATTATGGTACTAACTTCAGTAAATGAGGTATGATTTGAAGAAAATTTCCTTAAAAGTGTATTTGCAGGCCGGGCACGGTGGCTCACACCTGTAATCCTAGCATTCTGGGAGGCTGAGGCGGGAGGATTGCTCGAGGTCAGGAGTTCGAAACCGGCCTGAGCAAGAGCGAGACCCAGTCTCTACTATAAATAGAAAGAAATTAATTGGCCAACTAATATATATAGAAAAAATTAGCTGGGCATGGTGGCGCATGCCTGTAGTCCCAGCTACTTGGGAGGCTGAGGCAGCAGGACTGCTTGAGCCCAGGAGATTGAGGTTGTTGTGAGCTAGGCTGATGCCACGGCACTCACTCTAGCCTGGGCAACAGAGTGAGACTCTGTCTCAAAAAAAAAAAAGTGTATTTGCCACATGAATTCAGCTTATATTAACAGAATTATAATATTTCATATATAAAGTAGGCTAAAGTTCACCTTTATACTACATATACAGAAAATCTTGTTGAGTTTACACACTGCAAAGGAACACCTGAATTCACAATTTTATGTATGTGTACACACAAATAAAATAGGTCCAATGAAGTAAAGTAGAAAGAGCATGTGGTTTGGAGACAGAAAATACTATATTTGGAGACGTACTACAATGTATTCCCAGTCGGACAATATTGATGAAAATAATCAGAAGGCTATAACAATAAACTTTTCACACTATGCATTCCTTGGAAATTCCTAAATTTAGTTATTATGACCCATAGCTGATAACAGGAGGAAAAAAGCTTCAGTGCTTAGTTAGGAGCTGTGTTTATAATCAAAATGTCAAGGAGAAATAAATCCTTAGGAATATAGCCGTTTTATTTTCTTTGTATATTAGTTGGACAAAGAAAGATTCCAAAATTAGATATGCAAAAATATCTTAATATATTCATATTCTGTATACAGAGTCTGTATGCTATTAAAATTCTATTTTAAAGGTAGCTTTACAGGAGGAGGCAGGTTTTTTTTGTTTTTTTGAGACAGTCTTGCTCTGTTGCCTGACTAGAGTGCCATGGCGTCAGCCTAGCTCACAGCAACCTCAAACTCCTGGGCTCAAGTTATCCTCCTGCTTCAGCCTCCCAAGTAGCTGGGACTGACTACAGGCATGCGCCACCATGCCCGGCTAATTTTTTTTTTATATATATATTTTTAATTGTCCAGCTAATTTCTGTCTATTTTTAGTAGAGACGGGATCTTGCTCTTGCTCAGGCTGGGAGGAGGCAGTTTTGATGTGACCATAGGTACCTAACTGACCACAAGCTTTTGATTATTATGCCTCTGAAAAAGTGAAGCCAATGTTACTACTAGCAACTAATAATGTAATAAATATAAAATTAATCATTTGTTGATAAGTTTCTACCTTTTCAAGGAAACATAAGTTCAGGAGGCTGTGTCGTCTTGAATTTCACCCACAAGCAAATGGGGTTCTGACAGCATTAACTATTACCTGACCATGATTTCTTTAATAATATGCAAAAGCGACATAATGAATTAACATACATTTGTATATTACAAATAAATCTTAGTCTTCTAAATGACCCTCAAAAGGAGCCAAATTGTTAGATGAAAAGAAAAACACACACTAATTTATTTTATGGGATTTAAATCATTACCTGTGTATCTTTAAAATATACCTGAATGGACTAAAATATTAAAAAATATTTAGAGTTCTGAATTTATAAAATAGCAAATGCTGTTAAAAGGTACCTAATTTTTAAGTCTTTATTTTATAGTAATTGCTATAACATCAAGCACATCATCTATGAGAAGTGGATGGTTATAAAAATTACTTCCTAATGAAATGTGGTAAGTATCAAAGTATTTGAGGTCCTGGAGGGATGAATTAAAAATAAAATTTTACTTTTTTTTTTAGTTTTACTTAGGAAAATGTGCTTTAAACAAACTATACTAGTATAGAGTAAACCAACAGCAGTCCTTGTTGCTCCTACATTACTGTAATGTACTTTTGTCTCCTTAAAAAACAAAATAAAATAAAACAAAACCACTTAATTCAGACTCTCACCAACCTTTTAGCCAAAAAGTCATAAGAACAAAACAAAACAAAAAAGAAATCTTATTCTTATCTGCATACTAAATAGACTCAGGTTCAAAAACTGATAAATCAAAAATTAAAACGTATACAACCCACTTTTTTTCTTTACCTGTAAAATAGCCACTTCATTACGGAGTTGACTTTCTTGTTTTGTAGGGAATCTCATCTTATCAATTACTTTAATAGCCACATCCCTTCCAGTCTTTCTATGTTTTCCTATTTAAAGAAAAAAAAAAGAAAAGCAAATTGCAGCTCGCATATAATTAAAAAGCTTTATCAGGAATTTGTCCACAGACTGCAATTTGTATGTATTTACTCTTGTATTTTTTTTTCCTTTGGCTCATTTTGTTCTTTCTCCATATTCCTTTATTCACTTTATTCCATATTCACTCACCTTTAATTTTAAGAAATAAATTGTTTCCTCCATAATAAAGGCAGTTTCATTATCTGAAGTAGCAGAAAATTTGAATGCACTTGTCTGCTGAAAAGTAATCTACCTTGTTAAATAAAAGATCATTAAGTACCCTGACCGAGTTATTCAGAGAGACTGTCAAAATGGAAATATTGTACCAATGAATTAATTTTATTCTAGGTTCACAGAGTCAGCACAATGATTTAACCACATATTCCCCCAAACTCTGGGTTCCTATAATCTAGAATCTAGACATAAAAGATTTATGAAGTGCAAGTCTGTAATAAATAGCCATCCCCTCATTAATTAATTCAAACTAATTAGTTATTTTGTACCTATTAAGTACAAGGCATTGTTTTATATGCTGTAGATTAGGTGATGAAAACGACAGGTATATTTTGGTATTTGTTCTTTTAACAAATGTGACCTGCTGTTCTCTACATAGCTATTTATTAGAAAATAATTCATACCTGTCTCAAAGACACAATCAAGTCTGACTACTTGAAAAGATGAGACAAATCCATACATAGTTGGTAAGAAGGCAAAAGTAGGCAGACAGTTCTCTGTCCCTTCAATTAGAAGAGGTCCTCCAGAGATGTCACTAGTCTTAAAACTGACAAATTAGAAGTTCCAAGCCATAGATGTTGTGTATGTGTATAAAATCAACATATTTTCTGGATGACTATTGTATGTCAGACATAATGCTAGGTCCTAGGAATACAAAGGAAACACAGACATCTCTCAGCCTACCTTCAAATAAAGTTTGGAAGGAAGACAATATAAACCCAATGTGTTATAGATACTATCATAGGAGTGTGTATGTTAGTAGCAAGAGTGCCAAGGAGGAACGATCTGTTTTATTTGTTGGAAAGGTAGGGATGGGGACAAGAAATTCTTCATAGAGGAAGCCCTTTAGTTGAGCCTTGAAGTATGAATAAATGTTCACTATAGGACAAAGGGATGGAGAATGAGCAGAGGCAAAGGTATTTGAGGCATGACTGCAAGATAGAAGATAGAAAACAAAGAGGGAGCTGCAATTAGACAGGGGGCTGGAGAAGCAGGGTGAAATCACATCAGCTTTGTTTGCTCTGCTAGGACAACTGGCAATGAATCTGTGGACAACTGTGAACCATTTAACGGTTCTATGTAAGGTAATACTAATAATATTAGATAGGAGTTTTCTGAAAGATTCACTCCAAGAGTGGTGTGAAAAGAAGGCAAGACTAGAGGCAGAAAGGCCAATGAGGAGACTACTTTACCAGTCTTGGCAACCGATGACCAAGGCTTAACATTTCTTTTGTATCTTGGATTGTACCTTATAAAGTACTTTTATATATATTAGGTTTAATTAATATTTAAAACCTTGTAAGCTATGCAGGTTAGATTTTATTAGCTACATCAAACAGATGAAGATACTAAGGTTAGATGACTTCATCAATACCATAAGTTACAGAGCTGTATAGGATTTCAGGTCTTCAGACTTGAAGACAACAATCATACCAACAGTAGACAAATGGTGCCATTTGTGTTGGAAAACTAGTATGGAATATCCTTCAATGAACAAGCCCACACAAACCAACATAAAGTTCAAACCATTTTTCTCCCCACACAAACATCTTTATGTATGAGTTACAAGAGATAAAGTAAGACCATTGTAAAATGAATTTTCTGCTTCTTTCTGTCACTTTTTAAAGTTTTCAGTTGAAATTAAGGAATGAATAATCAGTTACAGTGAAAAGGACTTAGCTGAAAGAATATAGGTCTTTTTCACAATTTTGTCAAGAGAGCTGGCTTATGTTTTAAATTTCCCAGTTTTTCTTTAATATATACAATATACAAAAGGCTGTAGTTGCTCACCTCCATAAACAATGCCAAACTGGCCTGAACCAAGCACCTCATCTGCAAAGATCTGGTAAACAGTACTGATGTCCTATTAGGAAAAAGTAAACAGTATTATTTACCTCTTTAAAACAATGTCAACATATCTGCCTGTTTTCATTCAAATACTTAAATACATTTTGTTTACATTAGAGGCAATTAATTTTCATAAAATACAATTATTTTATGAAACTTAGGCTTTCTATGTTCTAGAAAAGGTTAAGCCCAAATTTTATAATATGGCTATTAACATGCCAAGTATAATGTATTCCATAAGAATACTTTCAGGAGAAAATGCTTTCAATTTAAAAAATCTTATATTTATTAAGCAGTGAACTATAAAAAGTAAATTAACATACAAAATTAAGAATAAATTTTTATGTATTTTACCATTAATGAGATTCATTATCTTTGATTTAAAAGAAAAACTTGAAAACTCATATTATTGGGAATAGATAAGAGTGATGAAAGAAGTATGTATGAGAGAAAGTCTATAATTCAAATCCACTCCTCACACTTCCCTCCCTGCTCTTCCACTCTTTTTTTTTTCTTCTTTAGTATTGCTGTCAGAATATTCATGCACTAACTTGGGATTTTAGTGTTAGAATTCGATGAAAGAAAAAGTGGAGCTCCATGTAGCAGACCCACAGTTAAAGACAAAGTTTCAGGCCTGCAACCAAAGCTAGTGAATCTGCATATATGTTAAGTTATTAAAATTTTAAGGTTTGTATGAACCATTTTTATATGTTTCCCAACTTTAACCAACTTTTTGTTTAACCAAATTTTGGTTCTAATCATATTAGATAAGGGGGCATCCAATGTATATATAATTGTTAGAAAAGTTTTTTTTTTTTAAAACAAAGATCAATTCTGAATCTTTTCCCTTCTCAGTTATGAATGGATATATCCTCAAGTTCCTGTGGAATCATTTACAGTTTGTGCTCTCATGTTGAACACTCCTGTGCTCTCATGTTTCCCTTTCTCTCTCTAAAAATGTGGTGTCTATTCTACCTCCTATTAGGACAAGAGACTCACAGATTGTATCTCCTGGAAATTCTCTACCTCCAATAATACTACTGGATACCCAATCTTCATTGTAATCTTAGAAATCCCAAACAATATTTATATGTTAGAGCACTATAACACCTGGATGCTCCAAGTAGAAGAGAGATATTTTTTTTTAATCAGAGAAATTATATATAGCTAGTGAGCAAGTTCCTAATTTCTTTTTCTAGTCCCTTTTCCTTCTAATCTAAGGGTTGGCAAGTACAACTTGTGGGTCAAATCCAGTCTGCTTCCTCTTTTTATATGGCCTTGATCTAAGAATGGTCTTTAAATGACTGGACAAATCAAAGAACTTGTGATGTGACTATTATATGAAATTCAAATTTCAGTGTCGATAAATAAAGTTTTATTAGGACATAGTCATGCTCATTCATTAAAATATTGTCTATGGCTGCTTTCTTGCTACAAACTCAGAGTTGAGTAGCTGTATATGGTCTACAAAGCCTAAAATATTTACTGTCTGGCCCTTTACACAAAAAGTTTGCTGACCTGTTATAAAACCCCACACATACCTATGTATACCAGCCAAATTTAATTCAGTCACTTTTCCTTACAAGTACTGCATTTCCTGCTTCTCTCTATTTGCTTATCCTGGTTCCCTGTACTTGCTGATCCCCAATCTCATCCCTTCAGCACTTCTGTCAAAAATCCATTCCACCCTCTAGGAATAGGTCAAATTGCACTTCCTTTAGGAAGCTTTCCCTGCTGACCCAGTAAGAAGTGACTTTGAACTCTCTGAACTCATATATCACTTTGTGATAGTCTCATGTCACTTTTTCTAATGAAAGAGTTAACTTTGTTTTTTGTAATTTTTAAAATCTGCCTTAGTTTCCTCCATAAAGCAGAACTCCTTAGGGAAGTTATCACCCAAAAAGTATAGCCTAGTATCTTTAGGCAAATTGCTCAATACTTTGGGCTATGAGCTTATTGTTCTAATTAGATTCATTTTATTTTCCTTATTTTAATCCCTTAGTTTGTATACATTAGCTATGATGATTACTTACCACATTCTCCTGGATCTGACAATTAGATACAGAGATACTGGTAGATAAATCTTCTATAAAATATAAGAATGATATATGAGAAAAGAACAAAATTATTAAGACTAAGAATATTAATATTTACAGACGTGTGAATGTCCATGGTATATCATACTTAAAAAACAGGCTAACACAGTTAATATAATGTAGTGATGTACATTAAAAAAATTTATCTACACACATAATAGTAATTTATCAAGAGGAGACTGGTTAAGTAAAATTATGACACATCCATAGAAAGTAATTCTATCTAAACACTAAGTAAATGATGTAGATCTATAAACTGAGTTAGAAAGCTAGCCATGACATATTATTGAGTTAAAAACGGGAGCTGAAGGATAAAGAAGTGTTTGAATTAAAAACAAAAGTAAAAATATGATTACTTCTGGTGAATGGAGTTGGGAAACAAGGATTTTAGTTTGTATACACTCCTATACTGCTTGCATTTTTTTAAAAACATAAAAAATGTTCTATTACTTTGATAAGTAAAGAAAGTAATTGATAAGAAAAAAAGGGAAATATGAAAGTAAGCAAGAGAAAGGGTATCAGACATCTAGAATCTGAGACAATTCAAAGAAACAAGATATAAAATTTCCATTATAATCTCAAATATAAAAATATAAAACGTCATTAATAAGGAAATGTAAGCAAAGTATGTATCAAAAACAAGACTGTCAAAAAAATCTATTTTAAAATATTAAGTCAATTTAAAAATATTTTAAATAATTCAAATTTTCAATAGAAAAGGCACAACATCAACAAAATTAATGTGTTTAAAACTACTTTTCAGCAGTTCTAGTTTCCTAGTTTAAGGCTCAGTATTTATTTTCTTTCAAAGGCCTCCAAATCTAGCTCCATCCAGTTTTAATTTCTGTCACTTCCAGGAGAACTTTATTCCATATTATTAAAAGGACAGCAACAATGACAACTCAACAGTAATAGTATCACTTATGTGTCAGGCACTATGCTAAATGCCTTATGTACATTTATTATTCTTCCCACTTTAGAGAACTGTAGAGTCCAAGATCACATAGTTAGTAAGTTACAGAATTGGGCTTTCATTCTCTAGAATCTGTACTTTTTAATTCTTTTGCAATTCTGCCTTCAGAGAAGATTCTTAACCCTAGGGAGAGGTCCATGGATGGGCTTGAGAGGGTCCCTAAACCCTTGGAAACTACATATAAAAAATATTTAAGTGCCTATATTGTTTTCTGATGAAACACTCCTTGGTTTTAATTAGAATGTCAGAGTGTTCTGTCTAACCCCCTCCCCAAACTTAAGAACCATTGTGAAATATCCATCTATTCCTCCAAATCGTACTAAACATCAAACATGTACCATGGTCATGACTCTCATTCCTTTGATCACACTTGTCTCCTCAACTAGAGTAATACTACCCCTCCACACCTCCCAGTTAACTCTGCCTATCCTATTCCTGTCTGAGGTCCAAAGTCCAATCAGATTCTTCTATGAAATCTTGCTTACTCTTCCTATCCATATCTGAGTTCTTTTGAGTAATGTATTATTCATCATTTTTGCACTATACTGCTTTATGCTACCATCTAATACTTACTTATATATGTCATGTCTCCCTAAAGAGCTTTTATAATTTCTGTATTGCTTTTGTATTCTATCATAGCTCAAAGTCTTGCATAATGCCCAGAAGAGTTGCACAAAATAATATAGCTAAAGTGAAATAAACTATGTTTGGAAAGTGGTTGGTACTTATTTCAATTTAAATATATTTCTCTAATGAATGAATTATGCTTCCCCATAAACAACATAATGCCAATAGGGGGAAAGTATTATTGTATTATGACCTTTTGACTATTAACTGTTCACTTGAATCTTTAACATAATTAGGTTTAATTATATAAATTTTGTTGGTACAGAACATGCATTGCAATAATTTTTTTATACTTCCGAATGTTTTAGTATAGTATAATGTGAACTTTTAACACTTTATTGCTTGTTTATAGCCCATGATGAATCAAAATATTAACACTAGTAGTATACTTAACCCAATGAGACTTCATGGGGATGCCAAAAGCACTGCTCTGGACAGTGGTTCATAGGTTTACTTTCCTTTAATACTGACAACCATAAAAGTAGGTACTATTACAGAGAGGTAAAGTACTTGCCTAAGATCATGTAACAGGTTGGTAGAGTGAGGATTTTAATGCAGAGAGACTGACTCTGTAGCCTAGCTCTGGACATTTTATGTACACATATATGCTGTAACCAACATAATTTTATAAAAGAATTAACTAAGGGTATTGGTTTATAAAGACAAAACTTAAGATGATACTGAAAATATATAAAGAACACAAACGTACCCACAAAATGCTTAAGAACAAAAGAAGAAAAAGGCATCAAGAAGCTTATTGCTTACTGTGATCTTTCCCTTGCCCTGGAGAAGTGCAAACACTTGCTTGAGGGGTAACAGGCATGAGAGCTTGGCGAATTGCCTTTTCCCAGCTCTGTGCTACATCAAGTCCAACTCCAGTGGCAGCAAGAACAGGATTGTGAGAGCTGTCCCCATTGTTCTCACCAACAAAGTATACCATGGTATCAGTGATGATTTCAAAACAGTGTGGGTTGCTGCCTTGTGAAATGTTTGTGAAATCTCGTGGTGAAGATATGCGGAGAATTTCTGAAAGTGGAATTTCCTGAAGTAAAAAATTAAGTATTGGAAAATATGAATACATCTTTATTTTTATTTTTATTTTTTTTTCTTTTTTTTTTTTGAGACGATCACAAAACAGCATATTTTTATTTTTAAATACATTACAGAATCAAAGATGTGCATTTCCACAAACGTCATTAAGACAAACACAAGTATGTAGTATATAGAACACAGTCAAGTCTTAGACAGTGTCTGCCTTGAGTCAATCTGCATGTCTAGCACTCCAGAGGCAAAGCATGGAGCAGATAACTAAGTCAATGATTCAGGCCTGTAGCATGTCCTTAGGATGCAAAAAAAAAAAAGAAAGAAAAAATTAGGAGGGTAATTTGCCACAAATTTCAACACCTGTCACTTACAATTGTCATTAAATCAACTCCACAACTACTTCTCTAGGAGCTGCAGTCTGCAAGATATAACTCCAAAGTAAGTAAGAAGCAGAAATAATGGCAGAAAGCAGAATCCTGACTCAGCATAGGTTGTTTAAACACTCCAATCTGGTTCTATCCATTGGAGTAAACTGCAACAATAAGTTACGTTGAATCTACTTCCCAAGGCAAAAACTTATTTAAAAAAAACTCACCAGCTCAAAGAAAGTCATTAGTTCTCATTCTCTTTTACTGCCCTAACTGCTACGCTTACAATCTTGTTTTGTGTCAGTCTGTGACATGGCAAAAAGTGAGGCAAGCCAAGCAAGACTAAAAAAGAGATGAAGGGCCAAAACAAGCAATTGGGAACTGGAGCCTAAGGTAATGTGGAAGGTGAGAGAAACACCAAATACCTCCTTGACCTCTTCTGGACAGGCAATAATCATGAGACTTCCTAAGCAGCCTAATTGAAATCATAGTATCCAGAAGGAAAGCAGCAGCAAGTTGACAGTCAATCCAAAAACAAAGTAACAGAGGACAACAAAAACCAATCTCTGGAAGAAGGAATGATGTGGGGAGTGAAATGGAGGGACAGGGAACAGCTGCTTCAAGAAGAAACTTAACAGTGACGTCTATAAGCCCTATTAGGCAGAGTTACAATAGGTACATTTAACAATTAATGAATATTACTCAAGTATATTTGAAAAACATACAATATGTTTTTTTTAAGGCTGGTCAAGTGAAGCAGTGGGAGTCAAGAAGGAACAAAGGACCTATAATTGGTTATGACCAATTAGTTGTAAATGCCACTGCACTCGGACCAACCAATATTTTAATGTCTATATTTTTAAAATGTAAAATCCTTACCTTGTAATACTTTGATCCAGATTCATTTTGAAATAATGTTAGACATTTGCTATCAAGTCTCCAATAATGCCTCTTTCTCTGTAAAATAAAGATCACAAAGCTGTGAGGTTCAAAACCATGAGTCCTTCAAAGTACTTGTACTTTCCTTTTCATTTCCATTCATAAATTTGTATTTCTGAATAGGTTTAAAGTTCATGAGGTTCAAAATTCTCAAAATATAAGAAGGATACATAAAAAGAATCACTCCCACCATCATTCATATTCCAATCCTCACCCTTACTCCAGGCAAGCAATGTTATTAGGTTTTAGGGAATCTTTTTTAGAGAATTTTATGCATACACACATAGATACATCTGTTATATATATAAATGTGTGCACACACATACAAATATATAATTTACTTGTAGGCTAAATTTCTAGAAGTTGACTTGCTGGATCAAAAGATATGTGCACATGTAATTCTGTTTGATAGTGTTCAACTATTCTATTCAAGATTTGACCCAGTTGATAGTCTCATCAGTAACATGATAGTGCCTGTTTACTCACACCCTCATGAATGCAATACTGTTATTAAACTTTTTGATCTTTGCTGTACTGAAAAATAAAAACTAGTATTTTAGTAAAGTTTAAATTGTATTTCTTTTATTATAAATGAATTCAAGCTTTTATGTATAAGTCACTATATTGCCTGTATTTTCATGAACTCTCTATTCATATTATTTGCTCATATTTCCATGTTATCATCTTTTTCTTATTAATTTGTTGACATTCTTCACATATTATGGAATTAACCCTGGTTTAGAATGAGTTGAAAATACTTTTTCTAGTTTGTCATTTGTCTTTGCTTTCTGCCATGTAGAATTCTTTTTATGAGACTAAATTTATTGATCTTTGTTTTGTTTCTTTCCAATTGAGAGTTTAAAATGATTCTCCCAAAGTTTCTCCTTTTAATTTCTTTATATTTAAATCTTTCATACACTTGGATTTATCATATGTAAAGTGTGAGGTAGATATACAACTTTACTTTTTCTTATATGGCTACATGGTTGCCCCAACACTATTTATTGAATTATCTATCTTTCCCCCTGATGATTTGATAAAGCACCTTTGTGATAAACCACTGAATTTCCAAACGTATATACCACTTTAACTTCCATTTGGAAAGATATGAACTATAAATAAAACAACACACACACAACTGTAGTCTATACTGCTGTCACCATATAAAACTTCAAGTCAACTAAATGTACTGGGTACTTCATTTTATTCTTAGATTTACTAGAAAGTCTCTTTCAGTAATTTATTCAGCAAATTTTAAAAATAATAAAAAAACAGTAGCTGCTAACATTTATTGTATGCTTACTATATGCCAGACGCTGTTTCAAGCTTTTCTCATATATTAACTCATTTGCATCTATTAGGCAGATACCATTATTATGCCAATTTTATAGATGAATAAATTAAGACATAACAAACTAAGTAACTTTCCCAAGTTATCAGTTTTAGTAAGCCACAGACACTTAGGCAGTCTAGCTCCAAAGTCTGTGATCGTTACTACACTATGCTGATTCTTCAAATGTACTCAATTCCACAAGTATATGTATCCTTTCTCTTTGCTAGTCCTAAAAAATAACTTGTAAATTTACACATAAATATACAAGTCTACATAAGTCTACATAAAATCTACATAAAGCCAAACATGTTTCCTATCTTTGGTAATAACTAAGATGATTTTTCAGATGAAGTTGTAGTTCCTTCTATTAATATCTTTATTTGTAGAGCTTATAATGTTTTGGGTAATTAGTCTTTATTGTGGTACAATCCCAGACCCTTTTTGAATCTTGACTCTTCTACCAGGTTATAAAATCAATGCATTAAATATTCTGCCTTTTAAAAATTCTTTACAAATGTAACTATAATACCAGTGTTAATTTTTACATATTGCTGTAGTATATATAATGTCTTAATATATATTTCATTCTCATTCTGATTTTAAAAATTCACAAAATAAAACTCATAACAAAGTTTTACTAACATATTAAAATGCATGTGACACTCACCAGGTTATCCCTGCTGGTGTAATGGACCATCCAACCTTCCTTCACCATTGTGCTGCTCTTCCGCTTTGTGTGCTTGATGGATTGTACAACCCTCATTAGTGGAATGTTATTGCTCGTTGATGGACTAAAAAATATTTAAAATTTATCATAAATATTTGTGATTTTGATTCTTAAAAAATCATAAATACAGTAGGCTCATGAACTTTTTAAAGATAATCAAGCTAAAATCTTTCAAAATATCTTGGGAAAAAAACAATGCCTTAAGAAGGAGAAAATAAATTAATACTGTTATGATGATACATATTGATTATATTGTAAATCATCGTGATATGTCATTAATGTTTTCTGAGGGGGTGGTCACAAAAATATAAGAAAACAATGAACAGAGCAGAAAGCATTCTCCTCAATTGGAAGATTTGGAGTCTCGGCAAAGGGTCTTATTTGTGTTTGCTGTTGAAATTTTCATACCCTATGCAGCAATGATAAATTAGCAAATTCACCAGGCAAAATACAAGTCCATGTATACTCAAATTCACATGGCTCAAATGTCAATTCAGTCAATCAGGTTGTTAGCAAAAAGTACTTCTAGTAGAAGACATTTAAAAGGAAATGGTTTATAGATATTACGAATATTAAAAAAATGTAACAAGTCAAATTAGATAACATTGAAACATGAGTCAATAACTGTAGCTATAGTAAAAGAGCAATTTGGCATGTGTGTGGGTTTATGTAAAATATACTGTTTTGAAATTTGAGCCTCAAACAGTTAAATACTTTCTCTTATTAAAATATGAAGTATTCATGATTACGAAACTAGCTAGGTTCTGTATAATCTCTAAATTGGGTAAATATCAAATTAGTTAATAATGGTAATGATAATAATAGCTATAATTTAATGATAAGCCAAACTGAATTAATGATGACTCAGCCATGTGAGATTGATAAATGATCCATTTTCTCTAAATGACTCTTCGTTGCCAATAAAAAACACAATCTGCCAAAATGGTGACATTTTATGACAAAGTAGTATATACTATAGGCTACAAAAATTGAATTTCTATAAATATAGTGGGATATTTGAAAGTTTTTATAGTCTCACAGCACTTTTTACAAAGTGCTAACAGATTAACTCTGTGGTAATATGAAAACTGCCCCCAAGTTCATCACCATCATCTTTGTACAACATTCTTAGTATATTCTATACTGCTGTTTCTACCTTCAAAGTAAATCTGCCTGTGTCAAAACTGGTTGCTTTAATTTACCATTCAATACTGGCACTTTGTAGTGGCTATTCCATAACTAGGTATTATATCTACACCATATTTAAATAAGACATTTTCCTTTTTAAAAAAACAAAACAACTTCCCATCTTGAGTGGATGGCAAGAGTGATGTAATTTATTTCAGAAATACTACACTGCATGTAAAAGAATTAGACATAATTTAATTAGATTTTAAATTACATTTAAGGTTCAAAGAGATGTGGCATTTTCCTAATGAGATCCTGAACTGACTCTGAATTTAGAAATAGCTTGCAATACCTACATATGTGTTACCTGATTGTTTTAACAGCTTCTTCATCTCTTTCCACATCAAGATCAGATGGATCCAGGAAGAACATTTTATCTTCTGGGGGAGATGGTTCTTCTGTGTCATCTAAGCCCCGACTACCCTCACTATTCAAGTCATTACTGTCAATGTCCATTGGTATATCTGTATCTGTTCCCAGACTGGAAGGTTCTGGCAAAGTTTTAAACGAATTTCAGAGTTTTATATTAATGGGTTATCAATACATCTAAATACAGGCAGTCTATTAAATGGGAAAAAACAAGTTTTAAAACTCTTAAAATATAAGAAAAGATCTTTATGATTCAATATACAACATTTCTTAAAGAAGATACAAAGTACACAAATCATAAGGCACAAGGTTAATTAATTTGATTACATTAGAACTTTAAATTTCTATATGACCAAAGCTACTATAAACAGCAAAGTGAAAGATAAGTTGCCACTATTATATTATGGTCAACTGATTTCTGACATGCTAAGACAATTCAATGGGGAAAGAATAAACAGCCTTTTTAATAAATGGTGCTAGGGCAGCTTCACACTTGCATGAAAAATAATGATGTTGGACCCCTTCCTTAAATTAATTGAGTTAATTGTAAAAATTAACTCAAAGCAGATCACAGACCTAAAATGTAAGAGCTAAAACTATAAAACTTGTAGAAGAAAACGTAAAAGTAAATCTTTATGAACTTGGGTTAGCCAAGGCATTCTTAAATACAATACCAAAAACATAAGTGACAAAAGAAAAAAATAAATCAGACTTGAGTGACATCAAACACTTCTGTGCTACAAACAATACCATAACAAAGTGAAAAGACAGCCCACAGAATGGGAGAAAATATTTATAAGTCATATACTGGATAAGGGACTTGTAGCCAGAATATTTAAAATCTCTTACAACTCAATAATAAAAAGATAAATAACTTAGTTAAACAGGTAAAGGACCTGAATAGGTATCTTTCCAAAGAAGATATAAAAATGGCCAATAAGCATATGAAAAGATGCTCAACATCAGTCATCAGGGAAATGCAAATGCGATACAACTTCACATTCACTAGGACGGTGGTAATTAAAAAGCCAGATGATAACAAATGGTAGTGAGGATGCAGAGAAATCAGAATCCTCATACACTGCTGGTGGGAATGTAAAATGGTGCAGCTGCTTTGGAAAACAATTTGGTAGATCCTCAAAATGTTAAAACTACCATATGACTATTCCAATGTTACCAATTCCACTACTATGTATCTACCCAAGTAAATGAAAATACATGTCCATGGAAAAATTATGCTCTAGTGTTCATAGCGGCATTATTCATAATAGCCCCAAAGTGGATATATCTCAGGAGTCCACTAACTGGTGAATGGATAAATAAAATGAGGTATATCCCTACAGAGGAACAGTATTATATTTCTCAATAAATAAGAATGAATATTGACATATGCTGCAACATGGATGAACCCTAAAAACATTATGCTAAGTGCATGAGCTCAAATTCCAGCTCCAATCCTCCTGCCTCCCGAGTAGCTGGGAGTACAGGCATGTGCCACCATGCCCAGCTAATTTTTTCTATATAGCTGTCCAGCTAATTTCATTCTATATTTTTTTTAGTAGAGACGGGGTCTCGCTCTTGCTCAGGCTGGTCTCGAACTCCTGAGCTCAAACGATCCACCCACCTTGGCTCAGAGTGCTAGGATTACAGACAGAAGCCATGGTGCCTGGCCAACCAATAAAAATTTGAAAGATGCCCCAACTCACTAGTAATCAGACAAATGCACATTAAAACAAATATAAATAGTATTTCATATCTATTTGTCAAAAGGTAGGAAAGTACAAAAATATAAATACATGAACTATAAATCTAGAATAGACTTCAGTCATATAGAAAAACTATATTAATTTAGATTAATTGAAAGAGAAAACCAATCATGTTCTCTTGGTGGTGTTAACCAGTGCTGTGGTCTGAAATGTTCATGTCCTGACCCCAAATTCATATGTTGAAATCCTAATTCCCAAGGCAATGGTATCAGGTGGTGGGGACATTAGATGATAAGGGCTCTGACCTCATGACTGGCATTAGTGTTCTTATAAAATAGGCACAAGGGTGCCCCTTTGCCTATTCCACCATGTAAGGATGCATCTAGAAAGTGCCATTTATGAATGAGAAAACAGACCTCACCAGAGATAGAATCTGCCTGGGCCTTGGACTTCCCAGGTTCCAGAACTATAAGCAATAAATTTCTGTTGTTTGTAAGCCACCCAGCCTTGTTAGAGGAAAATTACACTGAAAGGCTAGAGTCTTTACTTCCTATTTGCAAAAAATTAGGTAAATGCCTTGTTTAGTATTATCTTGAAAAGAGGAAAAAAAATGGTCCCGAAGGGAAAATGTTTGCATAATGATTATTTGACAAAGAAAGAGACAGTGAGGCAGTATGGTGTGTTCTAGTAACTGTGGACTAAGGAGCCAGATCACATGGGCACACATTCCAGCTTTGCCATTTATTGGCTGTATTTCTAGGGCAACTTATTTAGTATCTCTGTGCCTCAGTTTACTCATCTCCTAATGCTTAAATGTTTAGCACAGTGCAGTCAATAAATATTAGAACTATGAAAGAATAGGGACAACAGCAGGGTTTTAAAACAAGTCCTTTTATGTCTAAAGGTAAAAGAGAATATGCAACCCTACTGGCTATATTAGACTACAAAGTGGTAGGTGGCTAGAGGAAAGATGGAAAGGCATAATTACTAATAAATGTGTACTGTCACTGATCTCTATCTTTTGCTTGATTATTAAATCAGAAAAAAAGTAAATTTAAATATAAAAGTAGATACAAATATAACCTCTTGCAAAGATAACACATGAAAGAATTGTGACCTTTTTCCTAATCTTTTTTTTTGAGACAGAGTCTCACTTTGTTGCCCAGGCTAGAGTGAGTGCCATGGTGTCAGCCTAGCTCACAGCAACCTCAAACTCCTGGGCTCAAGCAACCCTCCTGCCTCAGCCTCCCAAGTAGCTGGGACTATTGGCATGTGCCACCATGCCCAGCTAATTTTTTCTATATATATTACTTGGCCAATTAATTTCTCTCTATTTATAGTAGAGACGGGGTCTCGCTCTTGCTCAGGCTGATTGTGAACTCCTGACTTTGAGCAATCCGCCTGCCTCGGCCTCCAAGAGTGCTAGGATTACAGGCGTGAGCCACCGTGCCTGGCCTTTCCTGATCTTTTATAGAAATTAAGAAATAATTTTACCTCCATTGAAAGTAACCTCCCCAAGGCAGTCTCTTGGTACTTTTGATGCACACCGTTTATGGCAATTGAATTTGCAATCTAAAATAGAAATATTCAGTTTACTAATTTACATAAAAAGTCAGGCAATATCAGATACGGTCAGACTTTCTTTAAATCACTCACAGATGGAATACTATTAATATTAGTGATGATGATGATTTAAAATAATAACCTTCTATAAGTCACTTAACACCCACTCCCAACCGTCCACAAGCTCAGTTTCTTCACCTGTATAATGAGGCTAATATCATTTGTATTGCCCTGTCAAAATGTGATGGCAGCTCCATGTTTCCTTATCTCACATTCATCTTTCCACAGCCCTTTGAGTTTCTTAAGCTGACTAAATTCCTATCCAATGTATGTCAGATACATATTTTTAATTCCTAAGTATTAGGACCAGATGCTTATGCAAAAAAAAGATTGAGATCCAACACATATTTATCAGGAATTGAATAAGGGCTTTCACATATAACCCTGGGAGGAAGGACTGAGCTCAGGCATGAGGTTTTAACATAATAGCTCTCCTCAGCCTACAAGAAACCTCAGAGTTGACAGCACTGCAGATCAGTGTCAGGTACAATCTGTTCAACAATACTGTGTAACTCAGTAGTTCTCAAACTGTGGTCCCCAAACCAGCAACATCAACATCATTTGGCAACTTGTGAGAAACACAAATTCTTGGGTTCCACACCAGATCTATTATATCAAGCAACTCTGGGAGTGGGGCTGAGAAATGTGAGTTTCAATGAGCACCTTAAGTGACACTAAGATTGAGACCCATTGATACGCCTATGTCTAACATCACCTTTGAAACACATCTATCAGCAATAACTGGCTAAAAATAATTTTTGGGGTTCTGACTTAGAAAGACCCTTTTGTAACCCTTGTGAGTCAGGAAATCCATCATGCTGACAGCATTGGTTGAAGGTCATTATAAGAAAAAGCCTCATGAAATTAATAACTTGATAGATGATAAAATTTACATTATATAATAACACTGTCATTCTTAAGAAAGGCCCTAAGAAAAATTAATATGATATTAATATCTTGTACATTTCTTAAACAATAGATTTGTTTCTTATCTCATGAACTCTGAAAATTGTGAAAACGTTTTCATTTTCCCTTTGAACATTTAGAGCCAAATTTGTGGAGCACCCGGCAGTAAGCGTGTAAGTTCTAATAGCAGGCATTTTAATTTCTCTATGTTCTTACCCATGGTTTTTTTTTCTTTGAGACAGAATCTCACTTTGTTGCTGGGGCGAGAGTGCTGTGGTGTCAGCTTGGCTCACAGCAACCTCAAACTCCTGGGCTCATGCAATCATTCTGCCTCAGCCTCCCAAGTAGCTGGGACTATAGGCATGCACCACCATGCCCGGCTAATTTTTTCTATATATTTTTAGTTGGCCAATTAATTTCTATTTTCTAGTAGAGACAGGGTCTTGCTATTGCTCAGGCTGGTTTTGAACTCCTGACCTTGGGCGATCCTTCTGCCTCAGCCTCCCAGCGTGCTAGGATTACAGGCATGAGCCACCGTGCCCGGCCTTACCCATGTTTTTATTAATTTGTTTATGCTTTGTTACATTTCACATATGCTTTTAAGCTGCACTGAAGTTTTTTTTTTTTTTTTTTTTTTGAGACAGAGTCTCGCTTTGTTGTCCAGGCTAGAGTGAGTGCCGTGGCGTCAGCCTAGCTCACAGCAACCTCAAACTCCTGGGCTTGAGTGATCCTTCTGCCTCAGCCTCCCGAGTAGCTGGGACTACAGGCATGCGCCACCATGCCCGGCTAATTTTTTATATATATATCAGTTGGCCAATTAATTTCTTTCTATTTATAGTAGAGACGGGGTCTCGCTCTTGCTCAGGCTGGTTTTGAACTCCTGACCTCTAGCAATCCGCCCGCCTCGGCCTCCCAAGAGCTAGGATTACAGGCGTGAGCCACAGCGCCCGGCCTGCACTGAAGTTTTTATACAGCAAAGCGGAAAATAAAAAGATAAATGAATGCATGAATGAATTCTTGAAACTATGTATTTTCTCAAATGATCCAGCATAACTGTTTATCTTAACTGAATTATTTTTTCTTTGTTAGCTTGACAAATGAATAAAAATAAAGAATATTTGTACTATAAAAATATAGGAATCACTGAAATAAATTATTTTTATCAATAACCGAAATAGCTTAGCTATATAGATAAAAACCTGCCATCTTCTAAACCAGTTAAGTACAAAACATTATTTTTCTAGAACCCTAACAAGTTAAATAACCCAGTGGCAGAATTAACAAACTCTGTTTAAAAATTCATTAACCTACATATTTATTTTAGTTCCTCTACAAAATATTGTACTTTTTTGCATATGGTTTAAGAATGTTTCTGTTCTGTTTAGCAGTGTGGCACTATTAACTACCTTTAACTCAGATTATCTGTTGGCTAGAATTTGTACGTCTGCAATTAATGTTCTTTCCCAAAACATTTCTGAGTGGCTGTTTTCCAATATACTTTTGTGTTGATATTTTAAAGTATTAATTTATGTATTAATTCATATTCAAAGCAAGCTGTTGAAATAAAATTTCAACGTTTAAATATGCCTGCCTAATAGTTATTAAATATCTGACAACAAATGTTCTCATATGCTATTAAACATTGTCAAGAAAAGCTTTCTTATATACTTAAGTTAAAAATATATACAATTATCTTACTTGTGTTGTAAGCAAGGATTTATTGTTATAAAAACCTCAACCATAATATTTTATTTAGCTCACTTGATAATTCAACTCCACAAATAATTCAACTATATAAAAAGGAGTGGTACTAAGAACTGCTAGATTAATCGCATTAAAAAAAGTACGTAAGATTACAGTTAGACTACTTATACCCTATCCTGGCTCAATAACTAATAATCTAAGACATTTAAACTCTAGTTTTCACTCTACTGTACAGCATTAATGAGAAGATATGACACCAAAGAAACCATCTTAAAAGCATAAAAGTATTATATAACTATAAGCAACAAGTTATTCCATTATTCTATTAAAAACCTGGTTCATTAAGAATGTTTTGGAAATACTATGACTATGTTCTGGGTTTGTATCCAAATAAGGATGGTCCCTGATATAATTTTACTAGTGTCTACTATATCTCATTTATTTCAGTGTGATTATTCTCTGGAATGACAGTTTTTGCACAATTCCCCTAGTTACATCATCAAAAACAAAAAAACCCAAACTCTTATAGTATATTTACATGTGTACGAATATTTAATGAAAAAGGAAAGCATTATTTCTATTTTGGGTAGTGTCTGGCTACGGAATCAAGGATATAGCTCAAATATCAGCTTTGCTGCTTACTAGCTGTTCTGTATCATGCAAGTTAAGAAGTCATACCTCATAGATATAAATTCTAGTTTTTCTGTTTACTAGCTATGTGATCTTAAGCAAGTTACTTATTCTCTCTTGCCTACAAAATAGAAAATGATTCCTATTGCTAATAACAAAAGCATACTTCACATATACCTACTCTGAAGACTGAATATGTAAAGTTTTTTTTTTTTTTTTTTTTTTACCATAGTGCCTGGTACATAATACACACATTGAAGATAGTAGTAGTAGTTGTTGGCATGCGTGCATTTGTATTTTATATATATATATATTTTTTTTCCTTTCTTTTTTAAGTTAACAACTATGAAAACAATTTCTTTAATGCTTCTGAAATATAAACATTTTAAACCTATATTTGCTAACAAAACAGACATTAATTTTACTTAAGGAACACATATAATCCTACCTTTACACTGCATTCCTTGCCGAAAGAGGCCTTTCAGTAACCGCTTGCAGTACTGACATATTGTGGGACGGGTATAAGAGTGAACAGCAAATGTGTGTGGAACTTTTACTCTGCACATCACCATCTTTTCCATCCAGATTGGACGACCACTCCAAGAAGGAATTCTCTTACTTGGTTCTTGGTGAACATGTGACTGAAATATAAGTAATTTCTGTAAGTATAAGTCAAAATATTAAAAACAAAATGTTGGAAGCAAAGCTTAACCACAAAAATCATTTATCTGGAACACTAAAGCCAAAAATCTAAAAATGTATATCTTAGCAGTTTCCTTTGCAAAGCTTAATTTGCCAACCCCTGAATGAGAAACAATGTAGATTCTTTTTGCTAAAATTTATGCTTTAAAAACCCTAAGATATGTTGATTTTTATGTCCTTATTCACTGATTAATAACTATTATTTATCAGGCACACTCAGCATTTTACATATAAAAACTAAAATCCTTAAAATGAATTTATGACAGATGTTCAAATCCCTTCAAAAACCTGAGCAAGGAATTAATCACAGGAAAAGTAAACAAACTCACAAAGTATTATTGCTGCTCAGGTTGCATTACTGAACATGATGTCTGAAAATAATTTGAAACAAATCTTAGATTCTCAAGTTTCTCTTAACAAATACTAAAATACATATGTAAAATTTGAAGTCTAATTAATGATTATGAAATAAATAATGGCAGACACAAAACTAAATCAACTTTAGTCCTAGTACCTAGGTTTTAGGAAGTTCTTTGATATTTTAAATATTTTCTAGTTTTTTGAGTTTTCCCCCCAGGTGAACAAAAAACAAAATTAAAGAAAGCATTTGTGTAACCTGAGGGATAAGTGGATTTTTGTAATTATGGCTCTTTCTACATGAAGGAAAATAATCAAATTAAATTACAACCCAGGCCGGGTGCTGTGGCTCACGCCTGTAATCCTAGCTCTTGGGAGGCCGAGGCGGGCGGATTGCTCAAGGTCAGGAGTTCAAAACCAGCCTGAGCGAGACCCCGTCTCTACTATAAATAGAAACAAATTAATTGGCCAACTGATATATATATATAAAATTAGCCGGGCATGGTGGCGCATGCCTGTAGTCCCAGCTACCCGGGAGGCTGAGGCAGAAGGATCACTCGAGCCCAGGAGTTTGAGGTTGCTGTGAGCTAGGCTGACGCCACGGCACTCACTCTAGCCCGGGCAACAAAGCGAGACTCTTTCTCAAAAAAAAAAAAAAAAAAAAAAAATTACAACCCAGTTTAATGTGGCTTATTCCATTTATTCAACAATATTCATTATTATATAGCAGGCCCTATACTATATATTGGGGACAAAAATAAATAAAACATAATCCAAGTTCTCAAATACAAAATCCAAATAACTAACTACCATCTAGATGCCTTAATAAATTTTGTTGAACCTGCTTGCATCTTCACTGACAGAACTGCAGTCCTGAAATCTTTTAGATATTTTCCATAACTAGTAAGTTTTGTAACTCAGAGAAGTTGTGTCATTCTACACTGGTATGTTCAATCAAGGGAAGCAACAGTTAGAAGAAACCAAGAGACAGTGTAAGGGAGAAGAAGGGAAAAAGAATGAAAGTAGGAGGAAGAAAAGGAAAAGAAACAGAAAACAAATGAATGGAGGAGAGCACTGTGGAAAGGCACAAATGCAGCCTCAGATCGATAGTTTTTTACTAATGTGTAGCCAGAAATCTTCTAAAATGAATTATGAAGCAGTTTAATTCAGGAAAAGTAAAGAAAAAGAGTGTGGAAACTCAAACCACACTTGTGTGCTTCAGCTGTCCAGGGTGTCCTACTCTAGGCTGGCTCACCCTCAATGCTGCCGTGTGTGGACCACCTTCAGCAAAAAGAATACCACTGACTCTGTAAAGCTAATAGAGAACCCAGTGGGAACTAGAAACAGATGTTTTAGACCTTTGCTCATCCCTGGCTCCATACTCTAGTGGTGACTCAACATTCTGCTTCTTTTGCTCCTGTTTCTTCTTTTGGTTTGTCTCAAGTTCAAAACAGCAGATGGAGCAAGACTGATTTAGCCAGTCATCCTCAAACATACAGACTACCCCTGTAAGGAAGAGATTTCATAATAGATACTTTCATATGCCAACATCCCGTTAGTGACTCCCTTTTGGTCATGTCCTGCTAGGATCAGGTTGTAAGAGGCATGGTACAGAGCCTGTGTGCCAGTAACTGCTCAGGGACCAATGGTTGTAGCAGCCACCTAATCTGTCGTGCCCTGTGTAAGTAGTTATTTATGTTATTATCCCTATTTTAAATATGAAAAATCAGGCTCAAAGGGATTAATACTACCAAGTAGTAGTGTTAGAATCAAGACTTTGAGTCAGGTTTTCTACACCATAGTTCAGTGCTTTTTAACCTTTTTCATGTCTCAATATACCTGGGCGTAATACAATGCCATCAAAAATAGTGGTTTGCCACTCTGTGGGGTGAGGATGGCAGGAAAGCTATGGCAGATTTAATCAGAATTTGGAGGGAGGAGGATGTTCGTAGAATTACCTAGAGTATCTGGTTAAAATGGGACTAGGGAGATTATAGTAACTACAATTGAGTGAAAGTTCTCTCACCTTGTTTTAAAGTCCCCTTATGTACAAATTAGTGCTAAGCTTAAACAGTTATTTTTTCCTTATTACTGTGTAGCAAGAAATTATCTAAAAGTAATTTGATTATTTCCACAATTTAAGTTTTGTTTTTTGTTTTTTTTTTGAGACAGAGTCTCGCTTTGTTGCCCAGGCTAGAGTGTGTACCGAGGCATGAGCCTCGCTCACAGCAACCTCAAACTCCTGGGCTCAAGCAATCCTGCTGCCTCAGCCTCCCGAGTAGCTGGGAATACAGGCATGCACCACCATGCCCAGCTAATTTTTTCTATATATATTAGTTGGCCAATTAATTTCTTTCTATTTATAGTAGAGACGGGGTCTTGCTCTTGCTCAGGCTGGTTTCGAACTCCTGACCTCGAGCAATCCACCCGCCTCAGCCTCCCAGAGTGCTAAGATTATAGGCGAGAGCCACTGCACCCAGCCCCCACAACTTAAGTTTAAGCTAACATTTGCCAAAGTAACTGCTCACAAAAACTATGTAACAATATTGTCAACTCTCAATTATATATAATAATAAAGGGAATAGAAAAGCATTTTCAAAAAGGGTGATTTCTGGCCGGGCGCTGTGGCTCACGCCTGTAATCCTAGCTCTTGGGAGGCCGAGGCGGGCGGGTTGCTCAAGGTCAGGGGTTCAAAACCAGCCTGAGCAAGAGCGAGACCCCGTCTCTACTATAAATAGAAAGAAATTAATTGGCCAACTGATATATATATAAAAAATTAGCCGGGCATGGTGGTGCATGCCTGTAGTCCCAGCTACTCGGGAGGCTGAGGCAGAAGGATCACTCAAGTCCAGGAGTTTGAGGTTGCTGTGAGCTAGGCTGACGCCACGGCACTCACTCTAGCCTGGACAACAAAGTGAGACTCTGTCTCAAAAAAAAAAAAAAAAAAAAAGGGTGATTTCTCAGTTATGGATATTTAGTTGGCTCTGAGTATTACTCACTGAAATATCTCCACTTTTATGCTTATGCTTAGACTCAACATTTTCTTTCTAGCTTGATTCTGTCCTCTGCTGCTGAGGAATTTTCCCAAATGTACTGAAAGGAACATTTATCTGTCTCATCTTCAAACAGCCATCACTCAATTCTGGTTTCTCTAATCTTAGTGGTTCCATTTTAACTAAATTCAGTGAACAGTCTATCTTCTTCTGTTCTTCCATGTCTTTACTTGATTCTCTTCAGACTGACTTGTGATATTATAACAGAAACTGCCTTCTTACATGTAAACAAAGGCAACCTCAAAGTCAGATTCAAAGTTTTCTATCCCCAACTTGCCTATTTTTTCAAGCTTATCTTAGTATTCAGTTAAGTTTAATATCTTGACTCCTCAGAAACTTTTCTTTCTTATTTTCATTATCTGTGAAGTCAGGATAATACCTATATCTCCCAGGACTGTGGTGAGGTTTACATGAGAGAAGGTGAGCAGCCATCACAAAGCCTGGCACACGAGAGCTTAAGAGGCTCTCAATGTGCAGCCACTCGGAGTTAGTTCTCTGACCTGGGTTTGGCTTAGGGGTTGCTCTTATCTCCTAACTGCTATCTCCTCCATTCCCTTAGAGTGGACTGTCCTCTCTTCCCATTCTTCCTTCCCTCTTTTCCTCCAGAAGCTCTTCTCTTACTCTACCTCCTTTTGAGGCTGTGTGTTTGGACTGACAAAGGGAAACCTTCTTGAGAGACCTTCTACTCTGTAAGTTCTCCTTGTTTTAAAATACTCTGAACAGCTGGGCGCAGTGGCTCACGCCTGAAATTCTAGCACTCTAGGAGGCCGATGTGGGTGGATCGCTCAAAGTCAGGAGTTCAAAACCAGCCTGAGCAAGAGTGAGACCCTGTCTTTACTATAAATAGAAAGAAATTAATTGGCCAACTAAAAATGCATATATAAAAATTAGCTGGGCATGGTGGCACATGCCTGTATTCCCAGCTACTCGGGAGGCTGAGGCAGAAGGATTGCTTGAGCCCAGGAGTTTGAGGTTGCTATGAGGTAGGCTGACGCCAAGGCACTCTAGCCCGGGCAACGGAGTGAGACTCTGTCACACACAAATATTAAATAAATAAAATAAAATACTCTGAACAATATAACCAATTCAGACATGTCACTCTACTTCTTACACTTCCCTAAGGAGTTTTCATCTTCAGGATAAAATATAAGTTAATGAATTAAAACATAATACCTTATCTATCTGCTCTGTCCTTCTCCTACTTAGTATTTCCTAACTAGTAATACTCAATTGGGTTTAGCTGGCACACCAGCATCACCTGTGGGGATCTTAAAACAACATACCTCTATCCTATAGTCCTCACTCCCATATAAGCTCTCTCTGCAGTTCAGTGTATAAAATACACTAACTTTTCTCTTGCCAATCTTTTCCTAAGTTCTTCTACATGTTTATAATAACCTCTAATTCTCAGTCTCTTATATCACAGCATTCTTTTTCTACTTTAAAAATCTCACACTAAGGCTAAGCATTATGTAAATATTAAGTTTTTGTGAAAGGATTTCAGAGGGTTTTATTCTGGTGTCTCAGTTTAACAAAATCTTGTGACTATGGTGCCAAGACAACAGCCTGAGGCTTGATTTTGTCATAATTTATAGAAAACCAAAGAGGTTATAGAAAAAATAAATGATAAGATTATATCATCAATGTATAATATATATAATAATATAACTATATTATATAACTATAATATATATAATTAATGATTAATATCATTAATCTTAAATGATAAGATTATAAAAACTTAATTATAGTTGTTTTAGTTATAGCTAAATGATAAGATTATATAGCTAAATGATAAGATAATAACTAAATGATAAGATTATATCAATATATAATCTATATATTATAACTACAATATATAACATATAACTATGATATATAATATATAATTAATGATTAATATCATTAATCTTATATGATAAGATTATAAAAACAACTAAATAAGATATATAATCTATGGATGGAAGTCACTTTAAGTACTATCAAATGTACAAGGGAGTTATTGATTTCTTCCCTTATCTACTACCCTCACCCTTGAGAGGTACAGTATGAGAAAAATCATTGATTTACAAATAATGAGTTCTATATTTAATTCTAGTATCTCTTACTAATTTGCTCTGTGATTTAAGTCACTTAACCATTGTGTATCTCAATGGTCTCATCTGTATACAGATCTACTGATATACTCTATATTGTGAGGGTCAGTGGAGTCATTATTCACTCATTCATTCACTGAGTACCTACTAAGTACCAAGGATCATGCTGGACACAATGGGGCACATGAAGACATAAGTATTGTCTTCTCTAAATAGATCAAAAACTCCTTGAGGACAATCCAGTATACAAACGCTATGATATTAAGTAAAATGTTATATACACAATTAGGAAGGTTTAAAAAGTATAATAGCATTCAGAACATAAAATAACTTCCAGGCAAGGGGAAAATCAGGGAAGGCAGCTTTTAAGCCAGGTCAGGAAAATCCATGTAGTATGGACAACAACAAGAGCAAAGAAAGGGGGAGCAAGGGTGTTATCAGGAAATGCTGAATAGTACAGATTGTGAGAAATGCAGCATGTATAAAAGGTCTCCTAGTGGGGAGTGATATAATCAGAGCAATATAATAGAAAACTTGACCTGGCTGTCATGTATAAGATGAAGTGAAGTACAGAGACCAGGAGCAAGGACACTGGTTAGGAGGCTAATACAGTGGTCTGAGTAATAAATAATGCAATCCTAAGGTGTACAAAATGCAATTCACATTGGTAGCCCTGCCCCCATTATTACATTTTAAGGTTAAGTGTAGGAACATTACTATTCTTTAGTATATCAGTTATGTTCTAGAATGTCATACACACTGTAGAAACATAAGGAATAACTAGTCTTTCTATTACCTTAGAATACATACCTCTTCGTTGGGAAGGGCTGCACATTCAGGCTGTAGGGGTCTTGGAACTGAGAGGCCAGGTCCTGGTAAAGATACATTTGACAGACGTCTCTTTCTTACTCCACTACAGTTATTTGGAATCTTGAAGGCACATCGTTTATGGTAATTTAATCCACAGCCTAAATATATTTTAAAAGGTAAAAAATAAGATTAAAAAAACTTTTAAGTGTGACACATAAAAAATTGGTGCTTCTTTTATTAATTTCTCTGTTAGCAATGTCTACTCTAAGAATCCAGATGACAGGCTAAGTGGAGGCTAACAAACTGAAAAAGAATAGGAAATGGGTAGAAAGGTGTGTTTAGAAAGGTTAAGTTAGCCAGAGCAGTGGTTCTTGAAGTGTGGTCCACAAAGCTATTACCTGGCAATTTGTTAGAAATGTAAATTACTGGGCTCCATTCTGGATCTATTGAATTAGAAACTCTGGGGATGGGACCCAGCAAAGTATGTTTTATGATGCATGATAAATTTTAGAATCACTGGCTTAAAGCACTGGTCAGCAAACTCTGGCCTGTGTCCCAAATTCTTCCTGTGCCATGAAAATCACATGAAACTCAAATTTCAGTGTTCCTGAATAAAGTTTTACTGGAACACAGCCATGTCCTTTTGTTTACATCTTGTCTATGGCTAGTTTCACATTATAACAGATAGTCAGCAAAGCCTAAAATATTTATTCTCTGGCATTTTACAGAAAAAGTTTATTGACACTTCACCTTAGAGGACTATTTCTTAATCAGAAACATACACCTGTGCCCTACCCTCTAGTAATTGTAATTCAGAACAACCTTGACAGTTTTGTTGCATGTAAGACTTAACTTTAAAAAAAATTAAAAACATTAATATTTATTGATCCACTACTCTGTGACAAATATTTTACCCATATTACCTTACTTAACCATTTACTCTTCACAAAACCCAAGGGGTAGAATATATTTTACAGAGAAATTGATCCTCAGAGAGATTAAGTAAATTGCCCAAGAATACGAAAGAGTCCCAATCTCTCCAATTCTAAATCCTGGTTACTCCCTAGTCACCAACTAATAATCTCATTTTCTCGGTGATAATAAAAGAATACAACCGTGAAACCCTATTTTAAATGACCATAAAAATTTTAGAACACATACCTTCACATTTCAGTCCCTGACGTACCAATCCCCAGAGCATCTCACCACAATAATCACAAAAAGTAGGAGCTTTGTAAGAATGCACATAAAGAGTATGTGGACGAATCTGGAAGTCTTCTACTGTGGCCAAAGCTTTTAAAAAAGAAAAGTATTAAAATAAACCTTAGGAATGTTCACCTGTTCATTTGTGTTATAGTATAGAAAATCATTTTTTTTCTCTGAAAATTCCATCTGAGCACAAAAATAAATTATTTTAAGTATTTAATACTGTGATATTTAAACTCTAGTTTATGAAGTCCATCAGATTCAAATAATCTAAACTCCAAAAGTAGGTCTGCAGGTAAGGTATCTGGAACTCCCAAAAGCACTTTCTCATAATGATAAGATTGCAAATAGCTCTTAGGTCTATTTTAGCCAATTAAAACCTGTTTAACTTATGATATGCTGAGAAATGCAACATTAAAGTAAAAAATGCTGTGGAACTTAACCTCAATATACATCAATGTTTCTGTGGGAAAAAACAATGAGTCCTAACTTAGGGTCCCAGGATACATTCTGTGTATGTTCTCCATAGTCCTAATGGTTAAGACAAAGATGGGGAAGTATTACAGATGGTTTGAAGTTGTGGTGTAGATGAATGATCAAGGCGGGGGTGGGGGGACTAGATGAATGGGAGAATCAGAAATAAGAGGAGAGGAGTGGGGACTCATAAGGAAAGGTGATGGTCAGTGAGAATCTCAAGAAAAGGCTCAATGGGGAGTTTGGGAAATGGGATAACTGACAGCAGGACTCTGGACTCTTGGATGGCCAGCTTGCTTCCTTTCTTGCCAAACAAGAAGTATTACAGACCTACTATGTACATTATTATGGCATTTTTTCTTCCCTTTCACTTCTCATTAACAATTCTGCTCACATTGCTGTTAGATGAGATCAGAAATAGCGGGAGGTAAGGAACAAGGTACGGCAAGAATGGGTGAGGTGGGGAAAGGAGAGAGGTAGAAAAAAAGCTCACTGAGAACAAAAAGGAGCATTTTTTTTCAAGCAATAGAAACATTGTACTTTCCTCTTCCATATCTTCATTACTTTTTTTCCTATTACATTTCCTTTTTTCCTATTTCTCTTTTCTGAACCCCAATTCTCTTGTTTTATGCTCTTTATAGAAACGGGGAAAAGGAAACAGAATTTCAGGATAATTGTTTTATTTCTTCGACTCAGAGAAAAGTATATTTTTTTCAGTTCAAATGATAATTCCCTTAGCTTAGTAACATTCAAGCAATTCTCAGTTTATTTTTCTTTCTTATCTGTGATATAACCTTCCTCAAAGTAAAAATCATATGGCAGCCATTGTTATAGATGAAAGAAGCAACAATAATACAAAGACCAAATATAATTGAACACAGCATTTAGTACAGAAAATGAGGCTCTTTGGAAAAAAAGAAAAACAAAAGAAGCTATTTACTTACCTGAAAGAACAACTTCTACTAGGTCTCCCTCATGTATTTCATCTGCTGAGGTAATCAGCTGCAAAATATTTTCTGAGTTCATGTCATGACGAAAGAGAAGAATTTTATCATACATGCCAAAGAATCCACACTCTGGAAACTGCAGGAAAATAGTCCTGTATCAGTATACCCAGGGCTTTCTATTTTTAGAAGTAAATTTCTCAATATTATGAAAAATTTTAAACATGTTTTGGCTTAACAATAGCAATTTCTAGCTATTAATATCTAAAAGGTGAGCCACATTAGATTTACTCAAGCATCCTGGTTAATTTTAAAGTTCAAAAACAGAAAAGCAAACTTACAAATAAATAATCATTGATCATCTTAAAACACATCTCTTAGAAATATAGGATTTCTATATTCAGTTACTGATGGAGAATATAATCTTGAATTTACTGCTAATCTATTCTTAGCCTGAAAGATAAGCAGTCTTTCCTATTCTCTAGAACTATACTGTCTAAATACATGGTTAGCTACTAGCTCTATGCAGTTATTTAAATTGAAAATAATTGAAATTACATAAAATTAAAAGTTTGGTCCTCAGCCACTCTAGCCACATTATAAGCACTCAATTTCCACCTGGGCTAGAGGCTAACAAAAAAAGGACTCCACATTCCAGCTTCATAAAAATAAAAACTCTAATAAAATATTTGTGTGAATGAAATTGATTTTAAAAAGTCATATTTCTTGCATGTCTGCTAAGTGTAAGATATTGGCCCCATAGTTTATAAAGATAAAATAGTCCTTATCTTCCAGGAGCTTACAATTTAGTAGGAAGGTGGAAATAAACATAAATATTATACAGTATAAGGCAAATGACAAAAATGAAAACATAAATAAAATTCTAGAATAAGAGGGGATAAAAACTTTAACTAGGAAGGTGGAGTAGAAGGATCCAGTACGGTATTTGAGCAGAATTGTAAAAAAGAGAAGCAGGGTTTCCCCAGGCTGCAAGTGAAAGTGAAAGTGTCATTGTTGAGAAATTACAAGGTAAACTGAAGAAGGTAAGTGGAGCCTTGAACTGAAGAATTAGGTTGGGGAGAGTTGGGTAGAAAGAGGGTAAAAATGCACATGGGGTCCCACGGGAGCCACACTAACAGAGAAACCCGGAGTCAACAGGGCTGGCTTAAGCTTTGCTACCTACTAACTATAGCACCTTAGATAAATTGCTTGACCTCTCTACATCAATTTCTTGTTTATAAAATGGGGATAACAGGAGTGCTGGCTTTATATGGTTTTTGTCAAAATTAAATTACTTGACACCTATAAAACCCTCAGCACTCTGATCCATAAATGCTAGTGGTTCATATTATTATTATATATCTAAAAGGGAGAGACATAGGGTCCCAAAGCAAGGACACAGGATCCCAGAGTAAGGCAGTAACATGATCAAATCTGTATTTTAAAAAGATAATGCACTGCCAGCAGGAACTGGAACAGGAAGAGACCAAAGCAAGCTCCTGAAGAAAGGCTGAAGCTATTGGTCACGAAAGAGGTATGAGAGTCTGGATTATATAGCAAGTAAATGGAAAGAGACAAACAAGGAACACTTCTCTCCAGAAACTATTTTTGGTAAATCGTATGGATTATTAATATTGTTATGACCAAAGCAGAAATTCTGAATAATAGCAACTCAAGAAATGAATAATAAACACACCACTGAGAGAACAAAAACAACATTAAAATAACAAATGTTTAGCTTGGAAAAAATAAATATAAAATAACCTTCTTAATAAACACATGACCTAATTAATAATAATGCCAATATAAATTTGGTATTGTTAAGAGACTCAAAAGCAAGTAAAAAAATTATAGGGAGTGTTAAAAATATACGTAAAATAGACATCACATATCAGATGCTGGAAATCTGTTGGTGACAATAAAGAAAAAAGTCATTTTCTAGGCTAGCAAATGTTTTCATATTGTACCCATCTATATGACTGACAAATTACAGAGTTCCTAGGGGAAAAACTGTAATAACTACCCTGTGAAAAACAGATTTCTGCTATTCACAATTATAATTTATATATATGTTAGGATAGTTAGAAATTATCTAAAACAAGAGTCTGAACTAAAACAGAACAACAAACATGTGGCCTGAAAAAAGGGATGTTGAATTTTACTGAATGCTTTTTTGATATCTACTGAAATGATCGTATGGTTTTTGTTCTTTATTCTACTGATGTGATATATTATGTATATCAATTTACATATATTGAGCCATCCTTGCATCCCTGGGATGAATCCCACTTGATCATGATGAAACTAGAAGAAAACACTGGAGAAACACTCCAGGATACTGGTCTGAGCAAAGATTTTGTGAGTTAGACCTCAAAAGCACAGGCAAACAAAGCAAAAATGGACAAATGGGATCATATCAAGCTAAAAAACCTTGTGCACAGAAAAGAAAATAAATAACAAAGTGAAGACACAGCCTACAGAATGAGAGAAAATATGTGGAAACTATTCAACTGACATGGGATCAATAGCCGGAATCTATAAGGAGCTCAAACAATAGCAAAAAACCAACCACTTAAAAAATGGACAAAAGATCTGGACAGACATTTCTCAAAAAACGACACACAAATGACCAACAGTATATGAAAACAATGTTCAATATCACTAATCATCAGAGAAATACAAATCAAAACTACAATGAGGTTATCATCTCACCCTGGTTAAAATGGCTTTTATCAAAAAGACAAAAGTAATGGATCCTGGTGAGGATGTGGAGAAAGGGGAACACTCATACACTATTGGTAGGAATGTAAATTAGTAGAACCACTATGGAAAACAGTATGGAGGTTCCTCAAAAAAACTAAACTACCATATGATCCAGCAATCCCAATGCTGAGTATATAGGAAAAGAAAAAGAGAGAGGAAAAGAAAAGAAAAAAGAGAATATCAGTATATTGCAGAGATAGCTGTATTCCCATGTTTATTGCAGAACAATTCACACTAACCAAGATATGAAATCAATCTAAGCGTCCACCAACGGATGAATGAAGAAAATGTGGTATATATACACAATGGAATATTATTCAGCCATAAAAAGGAAAGAAATCCTGTCATTTGCAACAACATGGATGGAATTAGAGGACATTATGTTAAGCAAAATAAGCCAGACACAGAAATGCAAATATTGCATGTTTTCACTAACATGTGGGACCTAAAAAAACTGATCTTATGGAGATAGAGAGTAGAATAATGGTTACCAGTGTCTGGGAAAGGTGGGGTGGGGGAAAAAGGAGGTTGGCCAATGAGTACAAAAATGCAATAGATCTAGTGTTCAGTAGCACAATAGAGTGAATAAAATAATTTATTGTGTATTTCAAAATAACTAGAAGAATAGAATTGGTATGTCCCTAACACAAAGAAATGATAAATGTTTGAGGTAATAGAGATCCCAATTACCCTCATTTGATCATTACATATTGTATGCTTGTCTCAAAATATCACATGTAAGCCATAAATATGTACAACTATTATGTACCAAGAAAGATAAAAATTAAAATTAAAAAAGCTTAGAATACCTAAGTTTGAGTGCTACATGGTAAGTGTTGATAAATTATAAGTGCTTATCGTTTCCAATCTTTTGTTATTAAAAACAATAACCAATGAGTAATCATATATCTTTTCCCACTTTTTGAGTGTAAGTATTGGAACACTTTCTAGGAGATTTGCTGGGTCAAAGAACATGCATATTTGAAATTTTTAGATATTGTCAAATTGCTCTTCATGAAGGCTATATCAATTTATACTTCTACAAGTAATGTGTTAAGGGTATGTACTTGTTTTCTCCACATCCTGTTTTATGGTACATTATAAAACCTGGTTTTAGGTGACAAATGATATTTTGTGTAGTTGTAATTTCCATTTCTTTTATTACAATAAGTTGAACATTTTTTCATATGCTTAAGAGACACCTGTATTGCCTTTTCTGTAAATCAGCTATTCATGTTCTTTGCCTATTTTTAATGCATTGATGAGTGTCAAAACTACAAATCCAATTATTCCTTAGAAAGAGTTTCACTATATGGGAGACCTTCAATAAGTCCTGAACAACATATCAAAAAACCAAAAATACTTCATATTTCAAAGTGTATACGTTGAATTTCTCAGAATAATCTGATGCCAGTGAAACATACAGAAAAGGGGGGCTTTTAAGATAATGGCTTCTTGTTCTAAGCCAGACTTCAGTAGAATAAAGAACAAAGGAGGATAATATTTTTTTCTTTCAGTTGTGTAACTTGAAAAGGAGAAAATATTTTGGCAAACTAATGGAAAACAATACATTAGTGACTCGGCTATACTCATTGACAGCCCAAAAAAAGGGAAAGGAGGCAGAAACTGTTGTACTATTGCTATTTTCTGTTTTTCTGTCCAAAATGCAATTCTTGCCCAATGAAATGGTACACGTCTTTTAAACATTCTATTCTACTGGGGAAAAAAAAGGGCCACTTGTGACAGGGAACAAGATCAGAAAAGCAGCAAAGGTGGTAACAGGTTAGTATGTGGCAAGGTCTTGAGACACTTGGTTTTCACAACTTGAGCTATTGGCATTTAGTGGGCAGAGCATTGTAGACAGCACAAGACAGCCCCCACAAGAAAGAATTATCCAGTCCAAAATGTCAACAGTTCTGAAGTTGAGAACCCTGCTTTAGGAGTATAAAGCAGTCAAGAGTACAGAGGCTGGGAAATGTGGAAGGAAGATGGCAACCTTATGAAAATTAGATAAGTCCATATTACCTTTACTAGCATACCTGAGCCTTGATTAAAAGAAAGAGAAAATGAAGGAAAGCAAAAAAAAAAAAAAAAAAAAAACCCAAAAATCTAGCAGGTAGAAGCAAAACAGGCCTTTAATTTGGTCTCTTTTCAACCGCTTCCCCCAAGGTTTTCTGGATTTGCTTTCTACAGTCAGTGCCAATGACACCTTGATTTGCAAAGTGAAGTCTTTTCCCAGTCCATATGGAAAAGTAACAGAATTTCATCATGAAGTTACTAAATTTCCACCCTCATGCACTCTCTACTCACTTCAGATTCTTTGTTTTTGCATTAAAGATGGCTTCAAGAATTAAAAAAAGAGATCTTATCTTTCTA